ACAAAACTTTACCATGAATTGCACACATCTACGATTTTATTGTCAAGACAAGGCTATATATGTTCCTTGAAAAAATGATAGATAATTTAAGCTTTAAGTTATTATAATGCGTAGGACAATATGAAATGTCAATTTTGTGCATTTTAATAGTAAACTGGAACTATTTCCCCTATTTTCATCTTCCTAACCTGCTATTTTTTCTTTTAACTTAACTTACAACCAGTTATATTCTAACTCATTTTGGATCATTACTAGCTGAATTTCTGGGGTTCTTTTGCAACATCAGAGTAAAGGATGTTCATGGTAACTTCATTATAATCTGCCCAGCAGCTGCTTTGCACCTTCGGGGGTGTTGGTAGAATATTAGTAGTCATATTAAAGCAATCAGATGTGATGTGGGCGGGACTTGAGAATAAAGAGTGCTGACTACAGATACGGCTTATTGCGTCAACGCTAGGGTTATCGTGAAATGTTCAATTAGTTTATTCTATGGGCTAATGGTTGACATATGCTAAATATCACAGCCTGACTGCCCAATGGATGAATAGACTGATCTGTATTACAGAAGATTTGCACAAATCAGTCCCTCATCCAGAAACGTATACAAATGCAATCAAGCTCAATTACAGCAACAGCTAATTATATTAAGTGTCATGTAATGAAGACACCAGTGTTTTTTGATAGTTCTCATTTCCCTTAGGGCAAAGAACAATTCAGACTGAGAGTAGGTGAGAACAGACTAGATATGTAAGAAAGACCTGAGAAACTGCCTGAGATACATCCATTTTTTTTATACAGTTAATAGATAACTGGGTTTAAGTCTGATTAGCCAAACAGAGTGATCTCATTGTGACAAAATGCTGTCCCAAGAAAGTTCAATTAACTAAATGATCCAATATATAAATGCTTTGCCTTGCAGCATACTGTTTAATAACACAGAATGGGGCATGATGGCCTGTATTATGATGCATGTTATTCCCGGTGGGCTCACTGGAAAATTCCATTCCTGCTCTCGATTGATGTTTCCTGAAAAACATGTTTATTTTTTTTTGAGTCTGCAGGCATCTCCATCCTCTCTGTCTGGCTCCACCACCTGCCGGCATGATTGACAGATTTACTGACTTTCTGACCATTAAACTGAGTCATCTGCTTACTGCCTGGCTAAATGTGTGGCTATTGCGCTAATAACTGCCCATATGAAGGGTTAGATGGATGACAGTCTCTCCGTCTGGGTATGGCTGTTTTTATAATCGGACCAAAATCTACTGGCTAGTTTGTAAATGGACTCCCGGTATAATTTAATTCAGTGTCATTGTGCAAATGAGTTGACTGCTTGGCGACACCTGCTTGTATCCTGGCATGGAAAAGGACACATTAGAAGTATCCAGCTTTGAGTCACTTAAAGGTGGGGTATGTCATTTATTTCAGAAACACTTTTTGTTATATTCCATGGAATGCTCTTAACATCCCGATAGCAATGAATATCTGAAATGCTTTGACAATAAATACATAAAAAAATGTCATCTGTGGAAGCCGTGGTGTTGTAAAAAGCACGACCAATCATCTGAGCTGGCCCGGCTAAAATAACTGGATGGCCTACCTGCCTGTCAGCCTTCCATCTGTGCACAAACTGATCTCGTGCCCTCATTGGTCATGTGTGCGTTCGTGTGTGTTGGAGGAGGGGCTCTGTGAGGAAGTCTGAAGGAAGAGGCAGATTTTTTCCGGTTGTGTACTTTCTAGCGCACTCGAGCTGGTTTCTCCAAAATGACATACCCCACCTTTAAGAGGAAGTGGAGAAATGAAAGGGAAAGAGAGAAAAGGGAAGCATGGATAAAGAAGTTGACTCGCAGAAAGAGAGAAGTTGTTTGTATAATAAAAGCGATGATGCTGAAGTGTCTGCTCCCCGCGCTGTGTGTGTGTGTGTGTGTGTGTGTGTGTGTGTGTGTGTGTGTGTGTGTGTGTGTGTGTGTGTGTGTGTGTGTGTGTGTGTGTGTGTGTGTGTGTGTGTGTGTGTGTGTGTGTGTGTGTGTGTGTGTGTGTGTGTGTGTGTGTGTGTGTGTGTGTGTGTGTGTGTGTGTGTGTGTGTGTGTGTGTGTGTGTGTGTGTGTGTGTGTGTGTTGTGTGTGTGTGTGTGTGTGTGTGTGTGTGTGTGTGTGTGTGTGTGTGTGTGTGTGTGTGTGTGTGTGTGTGTGTGTGTGTGTGTGTGTGTGTGTGTGTGTGTGTGTGTGTGTGTGTGTGTGTGTGTGTGTCTTTGCCCTGATAGAGTGATGATGAGAATAAGATCTGTGGCAACACACGCTTATGATAATTACATGTTTTGTTAAGCAGGGTATTCTCACAATATTAACACCACTTCTGTGGTTTTGGAAGCGTAAATGCAATCACCAGAAGAAGAAAGCTAAAGATAAGGCTATAAACAAACGTTGTTTGACTTTGAACCAGAAGTGGTCAAATGCTAGCTATTCTCCGAGTTTTAGGACACCTCTATAAGGAGTGTGTCGAGTGTCCCTAGGGGGCCACCATCCATCCATCTACAGCATGCCACCTTTATTTCCCTGGCTTGCCGTGCAGGTCCTCCAGAGGAGGGATGTGGGTCAACACAGATGGATGAGGACTATTTTCTCTGACAGATAGCACTGTCTTCAGGCTCCTGAATGCTGAATTGTTGCAATAGAAGATGGAAGATATGAGTTAAACGCTGAGAAGAATGTGCACACAGCAGATGTATAAGTAATGCTCACTGCTACTTGGTATGATCAGTTCTTAATTTGTATGTGGGTGAGTTTAATACGAAGGTGTGTGTGTGTATGCTATGCTCTACAGACCATGTGAGAATACACTGTGGAAGCCTAATCACCCATTGCATATCATTTGGCCTCATGCATGAATGTTTCTTATTTTTCTCTTTCATTTGTCATTACTCACAGCTATTGAAGGAATACATGAAAACCCTGAAACGTGCGCTGACAACCAAAACTGTTCTTACCCACTTGATTATGTTGATGAATTTGTTTGATCTTAAAATGGATGCGACTGCCAGGCAATTAGCATTTAGCACGAGGAAACACCCCATGAGCCCATATAAGGGCAGCAAATTGAAGCACTGTAACATTAAAGTGGGACAAAAGAAGAAGAAGAAAGGAAACTTTAAAAATGTCTTCTGCAGTGAAGAGAACTTTACTAAATAAAGTTTTATAAAGAATAACATATAGTTCAGCATATGTGATTCACTTTTTCCCACATAAATGAAAAGAAAAGAGTGCACTCGCTGTTACCTTAAAATAAAGTGCAGAATATAGTGGACCATTGTTATTCCTTCAGGTGTGTATAAAAGCTTGCCAAGGCCTGCGTATGAGCATGCTTATTGGTCTAATTGTGTTGTCTTTTAGGCGAAGTGTGACACCATGTCCTTGAAGCCTTCTAAAGATATGCTTGTTTGATATGCTACTCTGCTTTGCTAACGCTAGAATGTGTGAATGGTTTCATTTGAAAGCCCTGTCTTGCATAGCTCATTTCTGAGTTGGCAACTCTAAAATGTGTCCAATCACTTGCCCTGTTTGAAGACGAACACTGTACCCAGAGGCTGCACTGTGCCCTCGTGTGTGGACTACTTTTTCTTGTGCCTTTTCATTTTGATAAAAAAACACAACTTTATAAAACATTCATACAACAATGATTGAGTCCATTCAGAATGGTAGAGGCTTGACTATGATGTGCCTCTTCTGTTTGGGGCTGGCTGTGGCTGTAGTCCACTAATTGGAAGATTGGCAATTCGATCTTTTGGCTCCTCCATTCTTCATGTCGAACTGTTAAACCCAACATTTCTTAAGTCAATTTCAAATGGACAACCTTTTTTTTTTTTTGTACCTGTCCTTCACTGGGAAATCTGAGCCTTCTTCCCGCTACTTATTGCTTTGAAGTCAGGTCTCCATGACTGGATATTGGTGGTTATACGACTATGCACTGGAGCACAGAGAGTATTTATAGACGGGCTGGAGTGCATAATGATGGCCTGCCCTGCTAATGATTTCCTCTTTTGTTCAGCTGGATACCATCTTGGATTCTGATGCCAGAAATAGTTCCACCTCTAACAGCACTAATGTCACTTAACTGTTCCAGGTGCAAATGAATCATTCGCAGCTTTATTTATAAATCATTGATTCATTTTGAGTTGATAAAATGTTTTAATTTATTCTTCGCTATATATTTGGGCTGCACGATTTTGAAAAAAACAAACAAATTGCGATTATTTTGACTGATATACAAATTGTGATACGAGTCACGACATTATAAATATTGATCATCTTTCCATCATTATGCTCAATATCATTCAAAGATATAGTTAAAGTGATCATGGTATGATTTAAATTGTATTTGTATGGATCAGTACCCAGCTCAAATATGTTATTCAGTTGAAAAACAATGTTTAGGCCGGGACATCTCTGCGCACCTCAATCCCTAATTCAAATATTCACTCTTCTTTTGCATGTACCAAATATAGCAATATATTGAGATTTCAACATTTTGATGAAATGTCCAGCCCTACTACATTTTTTAAAGATGTAGAAATGAACTTCAGATAAGTCTCTCTTAGGGTTTGTGACAGAATGAAATGGTACCATCTTTTGTATGTATTCCCTGCTCTCACCCTGCAGGAAGTAGCAGTACCGAGCATGCTAATGACTGTCAGCACCCACAGCTTGTCGCAGGACATTTAATACTCCAGTGAACATGCAGCAGACGGAGCCTTAATCAGCTTTATTTTAAATATCACACAGACAATGGTGTAGATTTCACTGTTAAATAATTCAGTGTGTGTTCTGTGGCTGTATTTGTTAGCTGAATGCTTGTATATGTGAGAAAGGGGGAGGTTGGAAATGTGATACTCTACCTGTCCGATGCACAGATGTTACACCAGGTTGTGTGATTGGTTGTCTTTCAACCATCATTTCTTTCCCATATATATTCTAACACACGCTCTTTCTTTTCTCTCATTTCAGAGACAAAGAGAAAGCGGATGATATAGACAGCAACCCGGGCTCCTCCACCAGAGAAGGTAAATGACTCTTACACAAACAGTTCTTGGAGCATGTGTAGTCATGTTAGAGTCAGACCACAGTGTAAGCTGCCACTGAGGCACAGCAGCCCAGTCACTAAACTGTGGTTAGATGACTGCAGCTGGGATTAGCCTGCACTTGTTGTAGAGAGCCCGACACTTTCTCCCTCCAAGGCACTGTTTTTCCTTCGGGTTGTTAAAGAGAAATTCTGAACTTTCAGTTAACATTTCTTAGATTTGGGCAGGGGGAGGCTTCCCAAAGATTTGCCCATCAGATGAAGTTTGCACTAACAACTGAAAGAAACGGTTGGATTGCCCTTATTATATGTGGAAAGAGCAAACATTTTAATGACCATTGCATTTTTATATCCTAATATCTAGCAAGTTAAATGACAAGCCATTTTCATAATCCATAGGGCTATTAAAAACGTCTAATGGAAGGCAAAGGCTTCTGCTACGGACCCTTCAGTTACACATGGCAACCGTTTTAGAGGATTAAACAGGATTCTGAAAGTGTCCACGCTTAGGGAAATGCATCTTTGCAAATAATCGACATGTTGTAAAGGGCATTGAACTACAAGAACTGTGTCTTACTGATACATTCACATGATTCTAACATGAGCATGATCAATTAGGCATACACTAGCTAGTTTTCTAGTTGGGTTAAAGCAAATGATTGCAACTATAAAGAAATTCAAATGTGTTTTTAAAGAGAACAGCTGCAGTTGTTAGGGACATTTAGAGTCCGTTTGTTCGTTAAAGGTGCCCTGTGGACTGTGGAGTTTCTCTCACTGATGAATTCCATTTCTGCTTTTGGGTCTGATTTGGTTGCTATGTGACAGTGCTAACGATATTTGGTAACATTACTTCTCTCACCGTTTTCCATATAAAAGAAAATAAGAGACCTTGGAGGAATACAAAATGCATTTTTCACTCTACAAATGATTGTGTTTGTTCGCTCACAACGTCATTTCTCTCCCAACAGAGGTTGTTTCAGACGGCAGGAGAGGCCATTTGAACGTGGCATTCATTTTGAGTTTGCTTTAATTATAAAGTGCAGATAGCCTCGAGACTGCTGCATTGTTTCACAAACACATTTTTCAAACAAGAGGAATGTTGGAAATGAAGTCAAAGGAGGACAGTGGGGCTAGGCGAGTTTCTGTCTGTCACTGAGAACTACTTGTGGAATGTTTTGTTTCTTTGTTTCTTTTTCCAGACAAGGTAAACGAAAACAACATTTGAGTAAAGAAAGCGTACATTTTTTTTTTTTTTTTTTTTTTTTTTAATCAAGAAACTAGCCCCCCCATGAGTCATCCAATTTCAACGTTTTGAAATATTATGAAGAAAGGAATTTACAAATTCATTTACAGGGGCTTAAATAACAATAGAAACCCAGAAAATAAAAAAGTCATGCAAGTACATGTATAGATCATAACATAATTCACTATAAGTTAACTGACAGGGTAGAATAAAGTTCCCCAGTGACACAAGTCTGACGTTTGTTTTGCACCATTTAGTGTCCGAGGGGATTTTAAAATGTATTTAACTATTTTTAAAGTGTATTTGGTATTTCTTGAGTTCTTTTTTCTTGGAGAAATCTCACCACATCTTCCTTATTTCTATCATTTTAGTTTAGGACATTCTTGTAAATGACTTCATTAAGGGAACTATCTTTTGTCTCACTCAAAAATATCTCTTTCTCTGGTATACTATATGTGATATTCCCCTTTCAATTGGAACCACGTCACAGCTGATGGTTAACACTGTGGGAAAGAGTTACATGTTCCACACTTTCAATCCAGGCCGTATAGATAAGTGGATTTGAAAGAGGAACCGGGCTGACGAGGAACTCCCCAGCAGAGTTTCCCCTTCCCTGTCTGTCCTGACCGAAACGTAGAGACAGGACAGTCTCGTGTAACCGAGAGCAGAGACTTTACAATTCTGTGAAGCTCTTAAGAAATGCAAAATATTCTTTCTAGTGGCCCAATACCGAAAAATTGATATATATTCGTACCCTCTTGGGTAAAAATGGCATAACTTATGTGTCCGTATGTTAATGCAGGTTTAATGAACACGGATTTGTCCTGTATCATCATCACAGTTAATGCCTCACACTGTAGATACTATTTAAAGGCTTTAGTTTGCAACACACACTTCACTGCCAAATCATTGAGTTACACAGAATGACATTACATTACATAAGGTCCAAATTTAGTTAACTCCTGCACTACTACACGGGTGTGTCTCACTCTTTTTTTGCCCAGTCACTATTGTGGAGTTGTTAATGGGATTCAATTAAACACCCATTCTATCTGCTGGCTTGTTTGACCCAGGTCAGGAGGAGGGTTTTCAAACATGTCATGTGACCATTATTGTGACTTTAACCCTGCTTAGTAGGGATTTCTGAGAAAAACATACACAAAAAGAAATCCTCCAATAACTCATAAAACGAGTAAAAGAGAGAAAGAAGGAAACCAAAGAATAGTGATCCTGTGAAACATTCATATACCTGGTTAGACCTTGTCTGTCAAGATGAATATGTTCCAACAAGCATTAGCGAGGCTTGTCTCCAATTGTTCACTTCACAGCAGACATTTTGAGTACTGTCATAAGAAACAATAGCTACTGCATTCAATTCATGTAAGAGCAAGCTCCAGATTCCTGATGGTGTGCATACTGACTCACTGTGTTGGCAGCATACTTAAATAGTTAATAGAACTGAGCCATTGTTTATTGGTTCAACCTGTGATTGTATTGCTATTACAAATGAAAATGTCTGCAGTTGAAAACTCAGTCCTATGCTCCAGCTAGCTAGTGTTGTTATAATGGCAACAAACCACGTATGTGACATGCCTTAAGTGAATAAACAGGAGACCATGGGGAGAGCAGACATCTTTTATATGCCCAATTTTACTCCGTTTTGAGCAGATATGGCATGTTAACTTGTAAAACATGTCACAATGTCTCTATCCAAGCCTCGTTTTTTATAAATGTACGTTTGTTTAATTATACATAGCATGTTCAGCTTGTCTGGAGCTGCTGTTGCTTTCATTTCCGCTTTCAAGAATACTGCTGGAACTGGTTTGTTTTCCCTCAGGGGGAAATAAATCTCAAACTCAAATACAGGTTGAAGGCACAGTTCTCCCCAAACTCTAAGATATCTATTTGTTCTCTTGCCTGTAGTGCTAGTTGTCATTCTAGATTGTTGATGAGTGTCCAAGATAAGAAGTGTAGGGACTCCTCTTCAATATTAAGAAACTAGATTTCACTCAGGTTTTGTTGCTCAGAGCGCCAACAAATATCAACAGCATTGACTCCTTCTAGTAATCAGGATCCGAGCAGTTTGATGTACTTTCTTTAAACCGCAGAATGACTCGTGCATCAACTCATGCCTATAAGGTCTATTGTTAGAGCTATCTTACATCACAGCTCAGCCATGGAGGATAATATTCATGTTTACATCTCGCACCGTCATCATAAGTAGATACCCTTCTGCGCAGTGATACAGTGGAAAGAAAGTAGTTCCTACATGAAACAGCTCACAACTAGGCCCATGCAAGGATGTTTTTTGTTTGTTTTTGGGTAGAACTATCTCTTAAGATAACTGTCACAGGATATTATCATAGCGTGAATGAGCATGTATGTTTGCATTTGTACTCTTCTGGTCAGATGTTCTACATATAAGGTTTCTGCACAGCTGACTTTGCTCTGGGTTTCATTTCATACCTCTGTATCGTACTTTAATCACGGGGTTAAGTTTCTGGGTGTACCTTACATTGTATCAGTGGCAGATGAAAGCTTCACTATGCTTTAATTCATCTGTACACAGACCTGTTTGGTCGAATTAATCAACAAAAGCCTTAGCATACCAGAATGCAATGCAGCTACATTTTTAGTGACATCACTGCAATCACGGACACTCCCAAGTGTTCATAAACCCAATGACTCTAAGCCATAATAAAGTGTTCTGTAGAGGTTGTTAAAAGCAATTCATGTGTTGTAAGACAAATTAATTGTAGAACAGTATGAGAAGAATTTTCCTTAAGGCGTCTGTAAAAGCTAAAAATGCCGTTTTCCCCCCCGGACACACTTTCTATAATGAATTTTAAAAAAACCTGAATGGAAAGTTATAGTATAGCTTGACTTGTATATGTTGTTATGGAAGCTTTGTTGTAACATGATGTTGCTCAGAAGTCAGATATTTCTGATGGTATATCTCTTTTGCTGGTTACCGGCACCTGAGGGTAGCAGAAGCAGAGTTTGGCTGCAGATAAAGGCATAGACTTGCTGAGGAACTTGTTGTAGCCGCAGGTCAGGGTTGCTCCATAAAACGAAGGTACTGAAATGACAGCATGTTGGTACATGTACCAACATGCTGTCATTTCAGTACAACTGCCATCCCTGTTAGTGAGAGTTAATGTGAAGCAGCACTGCCCCCTTCTGGAACAACCTTGTATTGAAGCGCCGTGTTAAATCACTCCATGCAATTCATTATCTGACGACTTTATAGGATTAATTATGTCTCCAGAATTAAAGCTGATCCTGAATGAATTGTACTCAATGTGTTTTTGATTTTATGAGGGCTGAACGATGAGGGTTTATGATTGAAAATAGTCGCTGGAGGCTGTGCACTGTGAGGATCATGTGCACACTGCAGGACAGAGTCTCTGTTGTTGTCTCCTCACACTAGGCCTGTGAAGTCAAGGAGAGGTTGGATCTCTGTGTGTGAGGAGAAAAGAGTGTGTGCTGAGAGGCTCTGTGAACAGCTGCCACGTGTCCTTAATAGACTGACTGTAAAGGACATAGGCAATCGTACTTATTTTATCAAAAGGGAAATTGGATTTTGTGACTATTGCTCCATTTAATTAAAACAAAAATATATTATAATATAATTAAATATCAAAATATAAAATCAAATGTATTTCTGTTTTCTATAACACAATCATTTAAAGTAAGAATTTGTTCAAAACAATTATTAAATTAAATAAAGATATTTCTGTAAACATAAGAAGTAACATTTACAATAAAAAATATTAAATTTAAATCTAATAAAGATATTTCTATAAACATAAGATTTTTAAGTATGATTTTGCAATACCATCATCTCATGAAATAAAGATATTTATACAAACATAAGTTGAAGTAAGAATTTGTAATAAAATATATAAGATATAGTTCTTTAAAAATATGTATATAAACACATAAGTTAAAGTATGAATTTGCAATACCAATTACTAATAATACTAATAAAAAGTTAAAGCACATTTGTAAAAAAAACGTCCAATAAAATAAAGATATTGAATGGAATAGAGAAATGTCCAATAAGGGATTTTATATAGAATACAAATATGTATAACCTAATAAGTGAAAGTTAAAATGTGCACACTGTGCTACAATATATAACATATAATACAGTATTAACAGAGGCATATTAGTATTAATATAATATTAATGCCAAATTGCAGTTTATAAGGGTTTGGATTCTGATGGTGAAGTAAACGGTTTAAATTGTGCAATTCAGCATTAATATTATATTACTACGAGCAAATGTATTAAATGTGCAAGCATAAAAAACATCTGTCATCTGTTTTTGTCAGAAGACCCTGGGTGATTTAGTTTCCCACCCAACGAGAACGTATAAACGATCATCTTTTGAACCCAGCACAGTTATACAGGGTGTTTCTCAATGTCGAGGACGCTTGCTTGGTAGCACATGTACCTCCGAGTCAGGTCCTTCAGAAGCAAGGCAAGAATCCTTCCTAGCCTCGGAAAACGAAGAATTGTGGAACAGGCTAACAGGTGTGCAGATGTGCGTCATATGCGAGGCCCCGCCTTAAATGGAGCGCGATTTCCGCCAAAGATTTGGAAATTGGTCCGTGCGCAAAGCATTGTGGGGATTTTAAGACCGCGGAGTCTACACATGTGCAGCCTCGAAATTTCCCGCAACGAAGTACGCCGGCCTCGGTAGAATTCCAAGCATCCTGGACATTGGAACCGTCCTTCGGCGGGACTCGATGACGTAGCATCCTTGAAATAGTGGCTCTGGAGCAGCCTTCCTCGACATTGAGAAACACCCACAGTCTCCATTAGCATGGCCATGATGAGCTGGGATGTTTCCTGCAGTCGTGCCCTCATATTATGCCCCTGTAGGCCTGCTGAGATTACAGAGTAGTGACCACCCTCCATGGCTCAGGAGGAAGACTGTTCCCTAGAAATTGCTACCTACCTACTGCCTTTTGCATCTAATAAAACCTTTACTGAGTGAAACCGCCATTTAGGGCAGCAGCCACGTGTTCTTAATCATTATATTACATTGCATTTAGCTGACGCTTTTATCCAAAGCGATTTACAGTAAGTGCATTCGACCAGGAAGACACAACCTTGAAGAAAACAGAATCATATAAGTACATCAGGTTTCATTGAGCCAAACATTTCAAGTGCTACTCAACTGGCTTTAGGTAAGCCAGTCCTTTATTAGTATATAAGTGCTTTGTTAGCAGTTCTATCGCTCGAAGTGGAGTCGAAAGAGATGAGTTTTCAGTCTGCGCCGGAAGGTGTGTAAGCTTTCTGCCGTCCTGATGTCAATGGGGAGCTCATTCCACCATCTTGGAGCCAGGATAGCAAACCCACGTGTTTCTGCTGATGGGAACTTGGGTCCCCCTGGCAGTGCGGGTGCAGCGAGCTGTTTGGCTGATGCAGAGCGTAGTGCACGCGCTGGGGTGTACGGTTTAACCATGTCCTGGATGTAGGAAGGGCCAGATCCATTCGCAGCATGGTAAGCAAGTACCAGTGTCTTGAAGTGGATTCTAGCGGTTACCGGAAGCCAGTGAAGGGAGCGGAGGAGCGGCGTGGTGTGGTAACATTTAGGAAGGTTGAAGACCATCCAAAAGAGCAGGGAAATAAGGACAGACCCTCAGGAGTTCTGAGCAACAAAGGTGGGAGGAGTTCTTGCTCTCAGCCTCTTCACTGACCAGGAAATACACAGGTGCATTCTGTGAAGGAAAAGTTGTTGTTTTTTACTACTTTTACTCAAGTTCTTGCAGTGTCTGTGTTCACAATAAGAAATCCTTTGTTTAGCCTTCAAATGTATTTCAAATTGTAGAGCTGAAATAATACATCCAGTGACCAATTTACTGACCAAAAATGAATAACAAAAATAAGTATATCTTTTTTTAAATACCTACAATTATTTTTGTTCTAGGATGTAAAATGTATATCTTTTGAGTTTAGTCAAACACAAGAGATATTTTCTGGGAATGAATGATGGCAGCTTATTTATATTTTCTAAATCATTTGCTGTCCGAATTACATTACATGTCACTTGCTTTTATCCACACACATTCAGTACTGTAGTTAATCCCCACAGGAGCAGTTTGGGGTGAAGTGTCTTGCCCAGGGACACAACGACATGCTGACTGCAGTGGGACTCGAACTTGCTACCCCCTGATTCAAAGTTATTGTTGTGAAAAGACTGAATAAATATCTTTCACTTTTATCTAGAAATGCTACTTGACTTTGATAATGAGTTGCCTAAACTGCCCCTGTTTTTAGACTGGGTCACAATGATATTTGATTGAATCATTCTCATCATACATACAGTCATTTTCAACTAAACCACAACACAAACTGAAGTAAAGGAATCAACTGCCATTGATTCATATTTAAAATTCCCCCCAAAACTCAGTGCAGGGTCTCTGTGGCTGAAAGTTGAACCCAGTGATATTTTCTTCATCTGCATTGCCTTAAAATGACTCATGATGCCAATTGTGGATTCATATCAAACAAAAACTTGAAAATCCAGTATCAATGTACTGGGTTGGCTTGTGGTTTGCGGAGTGGTACATTACAAGTCAACAGTCAGAACAAACGGAAACAACCTCTGTTGGATAGAAATGTCTCTGTTATCTCTCAACAACACATTCTGTATGACTTCTGTTTGAATGTCCTGTCTGTTATTCACTGCTGTATTCTGACCACCAGGTTTGCTGGAATGGGTAACCTGCTAAAAGTCCTAACAAGGGATATAGAGAACTATCCACGCTTTTTCCTGGACTTTGAAAGTAAGTCTGGCGGAGGAGTGGATCAAAGGAACAAAAGATGGATGGAGAAGGGGGGGGGGGGGTCTCTCAGCTGCTTGCTCTCTATCAGCAGGTCTCGGTGAAGAAGCCTTGAGGAGTCTGCTTTCTTCCATTTGTTCCCTCCTTTTTTCCCCTTCACTGCGTCAGGACCTCCTGCTCTTTCTTCGTCTTTGTTCAAATAACTTATTCAAGACTTTTTAACCTCACACTTTATTCCTTTCTCTTGTTCTTCTCTCTTGCAGAAACCAAATGGGGAATCTGTTAAAAGTGCTCACTTGCACAGAGCTTGAACAGGGGCCAAACTTTTTCCTTGACTTTGAAAGTGAGCTCAGCTTCTACCTGTCTTTGTGCTAGGCAAAATCCCCTAAATTCATTTTTCCTTTAACCTCTCTTTAGCTGCTCTCACTGGTCAGGGGTCAGCCTATTCAACTGTTAAACCTCCCTGCTTTGCATTCATTAGACTGATTTATGTCTTTGAAATCCTTTCATTTGAGACATGTTGAAGAAGAATGGAGCTGACCCTTGACCTTTGCTGCCTGCTTTTACTAACTTATTTGTATGCACCACTCTCTATGTGCACTTTTTATACAAACTGTCATCAACGGATCGCTCATATTAGCGCTGCAGATAATTGAATATACCAGGAAAATCTTTCAAAAGTGGATATAAATACTGAAATTGGCACAAACTCATTTTAGGTTACTCTTTTGAAAAAGCCAGTCAAAAATCCAAGATGGCAGCAATTTTCCACCAAAAATGTCTTGGAAATATCGGGCGGGGGGTTTTTGCCATAAAATCACTGTCACTTGCCCTATAAGAATGATCTAGGTGTCAAATCATACATTTTCGGCCATGTAGAAGCCAAAATCAGATGTGAGGTATTACTCGGAAGCTTCTTTTTACCATGTCTAAGCCATAACATCTAAATCTTCCAATGGAAAACTGGGTGGCTTATCATGCATGGTAGAGGAGATGGTGGAGGTATTTTGAGGTGTACGAGTGCAGTGGTAGAGATGGGTACACTGTTGACATCATGGTGTTCACTGTCGGCTAACAACTTTTGCTAGGCTATAAGACTAGTGCCCGGAACAATTTGTAATAAACACGACACAATAAAGAATTTACTTCATGGAAAATATGACTTCCTCATAGTCAAAAACATATCATTCAATACCAAAATTGATCCAATTCACAGTTAAAATGGAAATGGCGACCACCATTTTCCAGAGGAATGAACATGGAAATGTTGGTGCCTGTATCTACTTTTGAAAGATTGCTACAGCTATCTGCAGCACTATATAGTGTATTTAATAGTTTCCTCTCCTGCATTATGCTCATATCTGTAGTTATTATTTCATTTTGTAATCAGTGTTATTTCAATATATGAATGCTTTTAAAACTCCACGTTCCATCACTGCAGCAACCACTTTACCACCCTGCTTCCCTATGTTCAACATCAAATAGACAAAGTGGTTCATTTAAATAAAAAAAAGCACATACATCTGCCTTCTCTTCTTCCCACCGATAAAAACCCCCACAAAACGCCTCCACAGTGGCATTTGAGTCACCATCACAATGTAGCCATCCCTTTGTTTATTCAGCAAAGAGGAAATGATGGGAGTGGAGGGGCTTTAGAAATGCAAAACAGACACAGTTTAAAAGTCACTGACGCTCTGAATTTAGAGCCGTCACTCTGTCTGTGGTCAAGTTAGCAAAACTCTGGGAATTATTGTTACATTTAAAACCTGACCTTGACTCTCAAAATGTAAAAAAATCACCTAAACACTAAGGCAAATCAAACTTATATGAGATAGTGAATATAATGCAATTAATTGATGTTCTTATGTGACATATTCAATGTATTCTTGCTGTAGCCATGCAGGAAGTACGATATATTCAGTCTATAGTTGCAGACATGACAGAGTAAAGTAGAATTATGTTTAAATATGCAATAGAAATACCATGAATTAAATGTGGTCAAATGTATATGTATTATAATCAAGACTTGTAAGACATCTGTTTATGTTTACCAAGGACAAGTGCATGATCAAAACTGAAAGAAGCGCAATATTTGGCAAAACATTTGAAAATATGATTCTATAGAAAGTATTGTGTTTCTGCGGAGAAGTCCCAGCCTACAAACGGTTGTACAGACTTAATACAAATAAAGTTATTCACAAAAATAATTGTATGATACAAATCCTCATCATTTTAAAGTAGTTTTCAATATTTGTTTAATAATGGTTCATAAATAATTATTCCCCATATATCACGAATCATATCGCAATTGCAGAATCGGTCAAATTAATTGCAATTAGTTCTTTTTTCCAAACCGTTCAGCCCTATTTTAGAACAATAACCAATTGTTCTTTATGTCGATCCAAGAGCTAGCTGCAGCATGCTTTGGATCAGACTGCCCTAAGAACACTTAGTTTAGTAGCACACTCTGCATACCTTCATGCTAGTCCTTATACAGGCAACTTCTGAATATTTATACTTTAAAATGACCTTAACATTTTTCCATTGTATTCTGTTGAATGTTTTTGATCACAATCTTGTATGAGTTACTATGTAGTGACAAAAACACTCGGCACACATTCCCATGTTCCCCCAGTGATCGTTCCATTATGATGAAAAAAAACAGTCATTACTTATTTAATTAAAGCCCTTTCACATCTAATTACAATATACCATTTCAAATAGAACAATTTAATCTGCTAAAAACACAAATTGAGTCTTGATATGAAAAGGAATAATTGTTTTTTTCCCATTGGAATAAGAAATATAGCAAAAAATAAGATCCGTGGCAAACACACATCTATTATAATAAGTTTATTCAGCAGGATAATATTTATATATTAACACTTCTTTATGATTATGAAAGCATAAATCCAATCACCAGAAGTAAAAACTAACGCTCTACAGTAGACTAGCTTACTATTATTCTGGCATGTGTGTTTTGTTGTTATATTTGTGTATTCCCTGCATGTGTCATGTATTCACATCTCTGTGTTGGGTGTGTCAGATGCTCAGCCGACAGAAGGAGAGCGGGACGTGTGGAACCAGGTGAACTCGGTCCTGCAGGACTCTGAGAACATCCTGATCAGCCTGCAGTCCTACAAAGGAGCCGGCCAGGAGATCAGAGATGTAAGAGACACACACACACACACACACACACACACACACACACACACACACACACACACACACACACACACACACTGTCCTTTCCATAAACACACACATTAGCCAGGCTTCCACCCTGCCTCCGTCCACTTGCACCTGATGGCTGTCCCATGTTTCACCGGAGCGTCAGCCGCACCACCCTCACCCGGCCTCCGTCATATTTTTCACACACACACACACACACACACACACACACACACACACACACACACACACACACACACACACACACACAATCAATGGTGGTATGTAGTGAAATACATTTACTCAAGTACTGTACTTAAGTACCATTTTTAAGCTTCTTGTACTTTGTTATATTTCATGCTACTTTATACTCCTGCCCCTGTTAGAATATAAGCGTATACAAAATAGACTAATAAATAAACATTGTCATATGTTTAACCTTATATAGGTTAATATATCCAGCAGCAGTTTACAAAGTAATTACATTTATCAGCTGTAATTAACACATTAATGCATCTAAAATCATATTCGGTAATTGAATAGATATATGATTCTGAAATGGGGCATTACACATAACTTGGAGCTTGAAGTATATTTTGATGACAATACTTTTGCACTTTTACTTTAGTAAGATTTTGCTAGCAGTGTAATTTTACAATGAAGTATAGGTACTTTGACTGCATACACTACTGTCAACATGTGAAACAAATCTGAACAGTTTGCAGCACAAGACAGAGAAGAATAAGCTACATAGAAAAGAATGTTTCACTGAAACACAGGACAAATGATTGAAACCTTCCCCTCAACGTACTGAATGTGTGTCTGTGAGCATTACGTCTCTAATAATGGATGTTTTCTGATGTGTTTGCTGAATTGTATTTTTTTCTCCCAGGCAATTCAGAACCCCAACGACTTCTCGCTGCAGGAGCGGGCCTGGCACTCAGTGTGCCCGCTCGTCATCAAACTCAAGAAGTTCTACAGTTTCTCCCTTAGACTAGGTATGCTCACTGTGAACTACCAAATATCTTGTTATCTTTTTTTGTATTTCAGTAGCCAGTTGGTTTAAAGACGAAAAAACAGCATCTAATGTCTTTAGAAATCTGTTGTGGCTGTTTCAACCTCTGCACGTCAAGTTTTAATTCTGCAACAGACTGGTCAGAACCAAATTCTGGACAAAATGCGTGCCAACAATCAGTAAACAGCATCCTGTGACATGTTGACCTTTGTCACAAATAAAACCATTCTTCTTAAAAACGCATGAACCTGCCTCTCAGACGCACACAATTTGTATTATTTTGGCGTAAGGTGTCGTTCCTTATCTTCCAAAAAGGGATTGTCTTCCTTCACTCAGGTGCTCTTTAAATTAGTAAATGTACTTACTGTCATGTTTTGTTGATATTGTCTTGCAAAAGTCTTGTAAGTGTTTTTGGATAAATAATAATAAATTTTAAAAAAAATTCTTTGTTATAATAAAAAGTAATATTGTGAAAGTCTGTGACAAGGAACCAGAGGTGGGAAGGTGGTTTTCGTACTTTAAGTATATTTCAATGTTAATACTTTAGTGCTTTGACTTGAGTAACATTTTGAATGCAGAACTTTGACTTGTAACTGAGTATTCATACTGGGTACTTTTACTTTTACTCAAGAAACTCAGCTCATAAACAACATTAATGGACTTAAAAATGAATTGTTCAGGTCTTTGATTCTCTTCTGTCAAATGTCTGAATGTCCATGTTAAATCTAAACTTGACACTTCACAAGAGCTGACATTTTGTATTTGTAAATTGTAGAGGAGGCTCTGCAGAGTTTGTTGGAGAGCCTGACGTGTCCGCCCTTCACGCCCACTCAGCACCTGGAGAGGGAGCAGGCTCTTGCCAAACAGTTCGCTGAGATCCTTCACTTCACGCTGCGCTTCGACGAGCTCAAGGTCTGCCCTCACTCAACTCACTCACGCTTCCTTCATTTCTAAATGATATGTCGTTTATTCAAAAGTCCTGTTTAGGCTTTGACGGTTTCCTTGTTTCCCTTCAGATGAGGATTCCTGCCATCCAGAATGACTTCAGCTACTACAGAAGAACCATCAGTCGAAACCGGATAAACAACATGAATGTGAGTTGGGACTGAAATTACGATATAGAAGGGATTCATCGTTTTGGCTCCTTTTATTCTTATTGTCATTTAAAAAATATATTATAATGATCATGGTATAAATGTTTTATTGATTTATTTTGAACAGAACCTGTAGCAAAAAAACATGTTTTATTTAGTGTGTAGAAAATGACTTCTGCACAATACTTTATTCAAAATCAACACATATTTAGCCTTTAAGAAAAATGCTTATTCTTCCTGTGATCTGAATATTGTTATAAATATACAGCCCTAATCTGCAGTGTTGTCTTATTCTAGAACATAATGTTAGAAGGCCACAGGAAAAGATGGCTGTGTTCACCTTTGTCACATCAGAGAATATAAATAGTTAATGGGGTCCTACGGTATTAGAATATTTAAGAGAAGGATGTCATTAATGTACAAAGAGGAAAATCTTCCTCCACTGACACTTTGTTGTTGTGTGTTTGTCTCCTGCAGTTGGACATTGAGAGTGAAGTGAACAACGAGATGGCCAACAGGATGTCTCTGTTCTACGCTGAGGCCACGCCCATGCTGAAGACGCTCAGCAACGCTACCACAAGCTTTGTGACGGAGGTGAGAGTGCTGACATCACATCACTGCTGCAACAACACATTAGCCACACAGTGATGGTTTTCTAATGCTGCAAATCTCTGTTCTAACAGTGCTTTCAGATGTTTTGCACTCTGAATACTTGGATTAGAAAATATATGAAAATATAACACCTGATATCATATGTGTTTTGCCAGAAACCATATCATCAAGTTCTATTATTTTTCAAGTGCTAGGACTGTCTTAGGGAAGAAAGCTTTTAGATGTGCAGCTCCACTAACATGGAACAGTCTGCAAAAAGAATGGAAAATGACCAAGCTAGTACCACTACATGTTTTTAAAGCTCGGTTGGATGTTACAAAATCAGATGCTGTTGGTACCTGTACTTGTGGTTAAATATGTAAATTGTAATCCCTGTACATTTTGCTGTATGTCCTTTTGTTGTTCTGTTATTTATGTCTTCTTGTGGAACCTACTGCTGCAGGTCTCCCTTGAAAAAGAGATCATTGATCTCAATGGGATTTTACCTGGATAAATAAAGGTTTTGAATTGAAATGTAATAACCGTTTTGCTTCTCGTACAGAACAAGACCCTTCCACTGGAGAACACGACGGACTGTCTCAGCACCATGGCCAGCGTCTGTAAAGTCATGCTGGAGACACCGTGAGTCACCATGCTTTTCTACACAAACAAAATACATCTCAGTTCTACCTTCACTTCATAACTCTCCTCCTGATCCTCTCCTCCCTCTCTGTGTACAAAGGGAATATACGAGTCGTTTCAGCAGCGAGGACACGCTCCTGTTCTGCATGAGGGTCATGGTGGGAGTCATCATTCTGTACGACCACGTTCACCCCAACGGAGCCTTCAACAAGTCCTCCAAGATAGACGTAAGACACACACACACACATATCTGTATAACAGCATCACTGAGGACCATGGATTTGTTCCCTGATGCCGCTCTGCTCCTCTCCTCAGATGAAAGGCTGCATAAAGGTCCTGAAGGATCAGCCGGCTGATAACGTAGAAGGCCTCCTGAATGCCCTCAAGTAGGTCCTGCTGGAGTGTGGAAGGGTTTTTCTGAGACATGTATTTTATATATCCATTCTGCCTAGAAAGTTATGAATAGTTGTGTATTTCAGTCAATGTACTGTATCATTTATTCCACTAGAGGTATCAGACACTAAACTCATCTTTGCTTTTTTTACTTTACTCTTTGTGAAAATGTTAAGACATCATATATTGTTAAATATTTTGTCGAGTGTGTTTTTGTGTGCTTCTCTCCTCTTGAGTATCAGGAAATCTTCTTTTTTTAATAACATGTCAGTAAGGCTAGGCAATATGGCCTATAAGAAATATCTCAATAATTGTAGAATATCGCGACACACTGTACACCTCAATACTTTGAAATCCCTTTCCATAGGCTCCCTTTGACACCAGTATGATGATTCTAGTAGTCCTAACAACACATGTCTGCATTGGCCTACAGTTCTACCCCTGTGTATCTGCTTTAATATAGGAATTAGAGCACAGCTACATGAAACGGAATGAATTGACATCTTACAATACCAAGCCGAACGACTATAGCCGGTTGAAGTACCAAAAGTAAAGTCAAAACATCTCTAAAGCTGCATTCACATGATACGCGGTCAAATGGCTCTACGCTGACGTTGTGTTTCTATGTAGAGAGAGGTGCCAACCATGGACGTCACGCAGCGCACTAAAGTGTTGCAGACTGCTGACGGCTTAAAAGAATATGAGGCAATTTGTACTCGATGTTTGCAACATATACATTCTAAGTAGAACAAGCTCGATACATCGAGGTTATTCGCCCTACCCCACATGTAAGTCCTCAGCTGTTCCACAGTGGCCTCTGTAGAGTCACAACAGAAACATATCTTGATGTTTCATGCCATCACACTTAACTGGAGTGTCCCTGCAGAGCACAATAGTCTTCATTCTGTGAGCACAGCATCAGTTTCACACAGGATTAGATTCTGTTTGTGCTGGTAGCTGAAGGGTAGGGGGGGTGCAGCTATCCCCTCCTGACCCCCTGTTGTTGTTTCTTCCGCTGCCACAGCCGCCTGTGGGGAAATTGAAACTAATTGATTGAAACTGTTCAGCTGTACCACTATGGACGGGTGGATGTTAGAATGGATTGACTGTGGATTCATTTCCATTACTAGGAATATCCTCCAATGGCTGACTCAATACCACTAGCTTGCTCTCTACCATGGTAGACAAGTACAAATGTAACCTCATTAAAAAAAATACAGGAATTATTATGTGAGAAAGAACATGCTCGCAAAATGTTGCTCTTTTATTTTTCTTATCCTCTGATCTTTTTTGCCTTTTCTTAGTTTCTTGCTACTCTGTTTGTTAGTTGATTAAAACTAGCAGCTAGCATGTATAGCGTGCTAAGATCAACGACCCTGCTATATTTTAACGTTACCTACGTGACTTAGCTAGCTGGCAGATACATTTCTGTTAAGAAACACAGAGCTGCCAAAAGTAATGATTCCTTCTTCTTTATCCACACAAACATTTATTATTTATTTCTGTGTTTTTACTTCTTTTTTGTTAATCACTAGCAATTAGCCTTTTCTGTTTTCCGTTTACCAAAACAAAATGAATCGCCAACTATTTGAATATTTGAATAGTCGAAAGGACAACGTTTTTTCAAACTATTATTTTGTAGCTACTTATTAAACCCCACACACCTTGTGTAGTTACAGAAGTTGTTATTCTTTAACGTTTCATTTAGATTGAACAACTTGTCTTGGATTAGCTTAGCCTTAGTATGTGCACTGCTTTGTATCTTCAGTTTACTCTCCCACTAACACTCTAACGTGTCTTCCTCCTCAGATTCACCACAAAACACCTGAACGACGAGTCCACTCCGAAGAACATCCGGACGATGCTCCAGTAACGTTTTTTTTTTCTTTTTTAAATCTAAACAGATATGAAGAGGATCAATGCTCTGACCTCAAATAAGATGTATATGTTTACATTATTTAAAAAGACTCGATGTTAATACTCGTGTGTATTTGCATAGTCATTCCCTCCGAGCTATGGAAACCTTCTTCTAACTTTGCAAAAAAACAATATGAAAGCGCCACATGAATTGCCTCCGCTGTCAGCAGCTATCAAAGCACACCGACGGACACCCTTCAGCCTTATGTAACCATGCTTTGCAAGCGGCACTTGGAAAAAAATGTTCTTCGACTAACGTTCTCAATCTTTTATTTGACAATGGAAGAAGTTTAGTGTACAGCTTTTAGTCAAATTTGAAGCGAAATAAATCTTTTCATTGTGAAGGTTTTACATTGTGACAGAGTTTGTGTGTTAAAACAAGTGGAAGTGTTTCTGTCTTCTCACTTGATCTGAAGAATGAGTCTCAATGAAATCAATCAGTGTGTGTTGCAGTGAAGGGCTAAATATTGAAGCAGATAAGGGATTCATTAGTTTGATGTAAGTATTGCTAAAAGCATTTTCTCTTTCTATGCTCAGCTGTTGAATTTGTTTTTTCTCACACTCCAATCTTGTGAAATAAATCCACTGTGAACATGAATCTTACTTTGCACATCCAGTAAGATCCGGTTGGCTCGAAGTTCTGTAAAGGCTGTGATGATGGAACAAAATCAAATCGACCCACCATGTGTTTTTATTTAACTGTTAATGCGGCAATCCTTCTGAATGATGGTCGATGGTTTCGCCATGTTTTAAGTGACTTACTGTGTGGCTTTTGTATTAAACAGACATTTCTATCAAAGAAAGGCCATCTTTAATTCTGAATACATGATATGTGCTTCTTAACTGAACAAGTTTTAAAACAATTGTTTACTTCCGTAACATAGTGACATCACATTTATATTGGCTAGGGCTCCATCACATTTTACGTGGTAGGCTAAGGGGCGGGACACCTCTAAGCCATTGACCAATCACAACACAGCTAACCAATCAGAGCAGAGGTTGACATTCTCTTAAAAATAGAAAGGTTTTATTCCCCGAGTGGTTGATTGAACAATTCATCTCATCATTATTTAAATTGAAACTTTAATTTGACTTTATTTACATGTTGTTTCATCTATAAATAGAACTAGATCTATTCGTAACCTGACATTTTTTCTTTAAAATATGGTATTTATGTACAACAAATGTCCTTCTAAATTTGACTTCTAACGTAATGACTTTTAACATTTGCCCTTTTGTGAGTTTGATTATCCTCACTTGGATATTTCCTAACGTTCTCAATATCAGACAATCTCATCATTCTCGACTACATTGCTTTAGGTTTAATAACGGTTCATTGTTCATGTAACTTCTGAATGCGGATAGATGCGGAAGTGAGTAAAAAAGGAACTAATACAAATGTTTTGAGCATAAAACCTCCACTTTTCCATAAAATGACTAATCAGATTTGACCATGTAGCATACTATAATAATATCTTTATGACTAGCATCATGACCACTATCATTATAACACATTAAAATACCTTTGGCTTTTCATGGCACCGCCTTCAAATATTAAAACTCGCGGGAAAATATATTAGGATTCTAACCTGAAAATAACTTTATCCCCGACTCAAATAACTTCATTTCATCATAAGCCATACAGTATATATAGTGATCCATTAACATTCAGTTCATGAACATAAATTAACACGTCGGGTATTTCCTTTCATTCAGGCCTGTTGTTTATTTTTGATCCTCTTGTATTTAGTAATATATACGTATGTGTGTGAGAGCCACACTTTGAATGCTATGTTTTTGATGCATAAGTGTACAATATTTGGAGCAGGTGTGCGTATGATACTGATATTCCATATCTGACTGAATCATCATGATGGATGTGCACCGAGCCTCCCTCTGTGTGTTGAGCGCCAGGTGTTGAACACTGAGACGGATTCCCTTTTCCCGTCAGTTATTGTTTCATATGTTCTGAGTTCACACTCACTGTTTATATGAGTTGCTTTGGCTTTGTACTGCGTATTGAATGGGATGTGTGGATTGGATAATAAAGGTGGTACATTTCTTATAAAACTGTTTCCTTTGCTTTCTTGTGATAAGTTGTGGAGGGTAAAAGCACTACAAGTAAAAGTACTGCATTGAAACTTACTGTAACAAGTGAATAGTAAGTATTATTGGGAATGTACTAAAGTACTGTGTCATTTTACCACCAAATATGAAACGTCAACAGGTTTATATTGACAAAAAGTCCTGCATTTAAATAGTGTTTGGAGTCAGTTTATATTAGTATTTGCAGGCCAATATAATTAAAGGTGGGGTGTGTAACTTTGGAGAAACCGGCTCGAGTGAGCTAGAATTTGAAAATACACAACCGGAAAAAATCTGCCACTTCCTTACAGAGCCCCTCCTCCAACACACACGAACGCGCACATGACCAACGAGGGCACGAGATAGGTTTGTGCACAGATGGAAGGCTGACAGGCAGGTAGGCCATCCAGTTATTTTAGCCGGGCCGGCTCAGATGATTGGTCGTACTTTTTACAGTACTACGGCTTCCACAGATGACATTTTTGTATGTATTGTCAAAGCATTTCATGTATTCATTGCTATCGGGATGTTGAGAGCATTCCATGGAATATAACAAAGTGTTTCTGAAATAAATTACATACCCCACCTTTAACATAATATACAAACTAAATTCAGAAGCCAATATTTTCAAAGGTTTCAAATAAGTTAAAGAAAAGCAGCAGATCCTCAGTTTGCATACAGTATTTATAGATTTATATTTATTTATAGTATTTTTTTCAGTGTTTTTCTTCCCAAATGGTTCTCTGTAAATCTTTTTCTGGAGTTATTTTCACACAATGTAAAACAAATATGATATATTGAGTTAGAATGACTCTTAATAATTGGCTTTTTTTTCAGCCTGCCACTAGCAGTGCGGTTCTTACTCAATACCTTGCCAAGAGATTTCAGTTGTATTTGGATAAAAGCGTCTAACAAGTAACATGTAATGTATCCGGCATTACATGTTGAAAATATATAAACTCCACCCTTTGATGCAGCAGCTTTGATGTGTTCCTGATGGAGGCGATGAGCTTCATCTGTGTGTGTTTGAGAAAGGCACAGTCCAGGGAAGAACCTCAAACAGGGGAACACCTGGGGAAAGTATAACATACAGTGTATTAGTGATGATTACACCTGAGATTCAAATCACTAAGCACAACCACTGTAATGTTAGTCAGAGTGAGACTTCTGATTGGTCAACAAAGGATCAGTATCAAAATCGCAGAATTTCGCTGTATACCTTTTTTGTTTGGACTCTTCAGTAAAACAATTGTCCCACAAAAAAGATTTTATTCTAACTGTTAAATGTCAAACATTTTGTAGATGCATTTCAAACTGCACATACTTTATCTTTCAGTTTCAACACCTAGACTTGTCCTGCTTTGACGTCAGAGGTCTTCCATGAAAAAGCTCTAAAGCCTGAAATACAATTTATTTTTTCATTTTTGTTGCACCATGAAATAAATATATTTTCTGATGTAAAACAAAATGAACATTTTCTGCCAAACATGCCTCAGGACACTGTTCAGATAAGAGAGTCACTTTTTCTACAATAGTAAGTTGGGTTTTTTAACCTTTGTATTTTTAACAGGCCAATGGAGATGTCCTAGTTTGAGAAAATATGTACGTTAAAAAAGCATAATGTATTTCCAAAGGGTAAAACCAAGTAAGTCTTTCAAATGTTTACCCCAATACTCGTATTTGTTCTCTTACTTTTATAACACTGCTACCTATTTTTTTTGTTACCTTGGATGTGAACTTGTTTTATTTTGATTGTATTAATGTGTGCTTTACTCTTTATTTAATTTGACATACTCAATTTGTTTTGCCTTTTTTTCTGCTACAGATACAGAAGGCTAGAACCAGAGGTGGAAGAAGTAATCAGAACTTGTACTTGAGTTAAAGTACTAGAGTGTAGGAATACTCTGTTACAAGTAAAAGTCCTGCATTCAAAATGTTACTCAAGTCAAAGTATTAGTACCAAAAGTAAAAGTAGTCCTTGTGCAGATTGGTCCATTTCAGAATAATATATATGATATGTTTTATAATGATTGATCTTTAAAGTGTTCTCAAAGCTGGTAAAGGTGCAGTTAGTTTGAATGACTTTGTATACTGCAGGGTAGCTTGTGGATTTACTCCAGGTGGAACTAAAGTCTGATTTAACACTTGATTATGTTTCACATTCAACCAGATCTCTAACTAATGGTATTAAATGCATGAGGTGGAGTAAAAGTGCACAATTTAACTGTTATTTGTAGTGCGGTTGAAGTTACACAAAATGTAAATACTCAAGTAAAGTACAAGTATCTCAAAATTGTACTGAAGTACTTTACTTGAGCAAATGTACGTAGTTACTTTTGGCTCATTTGGCTATAACACTGTACATTTCCCCACTGTGGGACTCTCCAATAAAGCTGCAGCCTACAATTACTTCTAATGCTTTGCTTTAAAAATAAAAGCAATGAATGATTTAGTTTCACTCAGGAGTTAGTAACAATACCAGCACAATTTCTAATGGGGTCACAAACAGCACACATTCTATTAATACATGACATTATTAGCCATTTTAACAGTGCCTAAATTCTGCCACTTTCCTGCAGAATCAGTGGTTTTATCCCGTAATGTGTCCTGAATGTGTGTCTTGCAGTGTGTTACATCACTCTGAGCCCCGGGGCGTGCTTCTTACTGGGGGGGCTCCTGTGAGAGCGCTGGGACGCCCTGAGCGCCTCCCCCCTGGGCCGGGGCCCCGCCCACTTCACCGGCCCCGGGCGCATCCCTGCATTCCACTGGGCGAAGCGCATCAGGCTGCCGACCGGCTCCTTGGTGACGGGGTGGTCGTGACTGGGAGACGCCCAAGAGGGTCGACTCTCGTAATGAGGAGGAGGAGGAGGAGGAGGAGGAGGAGGAGGAGGAGGAGGAGGAGGAGGAGGAGGAGGAGGAGGAGGAGGAGGAGGAGGAGGAGGAGGAGGAGGTCTGCAGTTGGAGCTGAGGAACATCTGAAGGAAGAGGGAAGAGGAAGAGAAGTGGGGTTACCTTGACAACCACATTTTCACAAGTAAGAGTCCTGCACCCATTGCACAATTACGAATTCTGATTCTGATTCAGATACTAACAGTTGACCAATCACAACAGAGCCGGCCAGCTAACCAATCAGAGCAGACTGGGCTCTGGTTTCAGACAGAGGGTGAAAAGAGGTGCTGCAGCACAGGCAGTATGAGACAAATAAAGAGCTTTCTGAACATTAAAGCATGGAGACATGTCCCAGTAGAGGCACTACGTACTGATATGAACCTGAAAATATATTTTGTAAAATATAAAAGGCTAAATTCCCTTTGAATTGTTGTGGAGTACTCGTCGGAGTAGTAGGAAAGTGGCATGAAAAAAAATACTCAAGTAAAAACCTCAAATTGGTGCAGTAAAATATTTCCATCTTCATACTGTCCTATGTCACATTTGATTAGCTCCAGTATCCATGCTAATTCATTTTGTCTGATGAATATCACCAAAGCCTGAATATTAAATGCCACAATGTCCTCTATCTCACCCTGCCCCCCCCCCCCCCCCCCCCCCCCCCCCCCCCCTCACACCCCATCATCAGCATAATTTGTCTCCCCCCGACACCTTCCTCTCTGAGCAGCATCATTAACATCCTGTGTAAAGGCTGCTCCATAATGCATGATGTCGGCTGGTTACACCATCTCCAGAGACCCCTCCCACGTTTACCCCTCCTCTGATTCAGACATGGAGGTCACAGTCACAGTAGGGGGGGGTGGGGGGGTGATGGATGGAGCATGTTCTACCATTGATTTGGCTTTGCGTAGCTTGTAGTGTGTCTCAGACGGGGATTTCTTTGGTGTGTTGCTGCTGCAGGTGGGGGCTCTGAGGGTCCTCCGCCTGCAGGGAGAGGAGCAGGTGGAGCAACACCATTAGTACTCTTTCAAACATAATAATAATTGGTTATATTACCTGCAGATGACGAGGGTCAAAGAGCAACATGTGTCTGTTGCGCTCATTAATCTAATAATGTGTTATGGTGTTTCATCATTTGCTTTAACCATTATCTGCAATGAATTGAGCTTCTTTACAAGATCCTGTCGATGGCACCAACCTTTTTTAGCCCTATTCTGACTTTTGTGACTTTTTTGACTTTTATTTGTGGTCCTATTTCTGGCTGCATTAGGTTGTGAATAGTTCAGATACATTGTAATATTACTGTAATTCGCACTGTGTACTATGTGCAAATGGATGAAGTGCAGAGTTGGGAGGTAACTAAGTACATTTACTCAAGAACTGTACTCAAGTACAATTTTGAGGTACTTGCACTTTACTTAAGTATTTCCATTCTTTGCTACTTTGTACTTTTACTCCACTACAATTACTTAATACCTTTAGTTACTTTACAGATGTGGATGAATGATGTGAAATATAATCAAGTGTTGAATCAGACTTTAGTTCCACCTGGAGTAAATCCACCAGCTACCCTGCAGTCTACAAAGTCATTCAAACTAGCTGCTCCTTTACCAGCTTTGAGAACACTTTCATGATCAATCATTATAAAACATATCATATATATTATTCTGAAATGGACCAATCTGCATAATGACTACTTGCATGCAAATACTTTTGTACTCTTACTTGAGCAAGATTTTGATTGCTGGACTTTTACTTGTAACAGAGTATTACATTATTAATTTTGTCTGATAAATATCATCAAAGCCTGAATATTTAATGCCACAGTGTCCTCTATCTCACCCAGCATCATCTGTCTCCCCCCCGACACCTCCCTCTGCTCAATTCATTGCAGATAATGGTTAGAGCCCCCATAATTACATTATTAAACTCTTCTACTTCTACACTTACTCAAGTACAAGATCTGAGTACTTCTTCCACCTCTAGTGCTAACCATAGCCTCCATGTTTAGATCTCGTACCAACCATGGAGAGACTACAAATGAAATATAAAGATGTAAAAACTATGACCACATAGTCAGCATAACGTTGTGTGTAAAAATGTTGCTTACCTAACTTAGTTGCAAACAATTGAAAAGAATTGAAGGTGTTGTGTAAATGTAAGGCTGGTAAAATGGTACGACAGTTCTTCTTCTAACTGTGCATTGTTAGAAACAGGAGGCCCAGTTTTAAGAATGTGTGAACATCAACACTATATGGCTATATTTCTATTTCTAGGTTATCTCACATGTCAGATTGTGGCTGTGGACTGAGAGTTGCGTCTGAATATCTACATTTAGTTTTGCATAATACAGTATGGTGTGTAAATACAGAAAGTCAAATTGTACAATCTCTCTTGTTTTAAGGCCAATCAATGGTAAACGGACTGCATTTATATTGTGCTTTCCAAGTCTTTTACACTTACAATTCAGCACTCACCCATTTACACACAGAAGCTGTCATACAAGGTGCTACCTGCTCAGGGAGACTCACATTCACACACTGTATCTTAAGTATATTGCCCAAGAACGCATCGGCATGTTGACTGTGGGGGCTGGGTCCTGGGATCAAACCACCTACATTCTGATTGGTAGACGCCCACTCTACATCACAGCCACAGCCCCATGCTCTGGACTCTGTTATTAACGATGTTTCATTTGTGAGTGCTAATGTAATGACCATTCATTAATGGTCTACTTAATAACTGTTCATCAAGTCCCATTAAAACATAATGAAGTTCAGTAAATGGTTTGTTTGTTTCTGCTAACATTAACTGGATTTCACTTTCAACTGTTTAAACGTTTTGATGTTTTTGACCAATAACAATCCAATTTGACGTCTTACATTTTCAGAGCCTGCTCGGGGGGGTCCAGGTTGTCGAGGTAGTTGAAGCGCAGAGTGTCTGCAGGACGTCTGTCAGAGTCTCTCCAGGGTGGGGGGGCAGGCTGCTTCTCCTTTCTTATCCCCGTCCTGGAGATGCTTCCTGGAGGCTGGCTGATGGAGGCTGCCCCCCCCTCACTGATGAAGACCGCCTCTGACAGATCTTCAGGTTTACTGATGGAGGAGACGTGTGGAGCCTCCAACTGCTGCTGGGGGGAGGACGCCTGGAGGTATACATTACATTTTTATAAACATTTTATCATTGAATCTTGATTTAGTTATCCTAAAATAATAACTAATATTCATATATTTGACAACTACATGTTTGATTTTTGAGTTTATCAGTGTTGGAATGTAACTTAGTATCTTTACTCAAATACAATTTTGGTACACGTTTAAACAACCAGTACTTGGGTATTTACTTTCTTATTCTACTCCACATTCAGGTTAATATTTTTAATGTTCTCAACACTTATTTAAAGCCTAAGTTACTCAACAAATGAAATACATTTTCACATAAAAAATCCAAAGAACAAAAAAATGAGGATGTTTTTTAATAAATGAAACTACCTAACAGCGTGAAGTACAGCCTTAATGATTAATGTATTATTCAATGAGTGAATGAGTTGATTAATCAACAGAACATTTATTATTTTGATAAACATTGAAGTCAATTATTTTTGCAAAAATGAACAGGCACCCAAAATTAGATTTTGCTGTTTTAAAAATCTATTTCGAATCATTTTTAAGAGTTTCTGCATTGAGTGGTTAATTTTACATTTAATATTTCAAGTACATTTACCTGATTATTCTTTTACTTAAGTAACCATTTCAATGCAGATCTTACACTTGTAGTGGATTATTTTCGCAGTGTGAGAATTATAATATAATTATTATTAAAATAAGTCTTTATCAAACAGGGGCCATGCAGAAAATATTATTTTCAAAACAAAAGAGATGAGTTATTGCAGTTTTAGCTATTAGCAATCTTAGCATGTTCTGTCCGAGGTACATGTAGCCATCAACAGCCACTGAAAACATGAAGTCTCTATGACACTCACATCAGAGTTAATATTCAGTAAGATATATTCTACACTGCTCGAGTTATTCTGTGTGACCTCCTGACCTGCAGTGAGGTGAGCCTCAGCTCCTGCACAGAGTGGATGTAGAGTCTCTTCCACACCCCCTGCTCCAGGGGGGTGGGGGTGAAGGTGAGGCCCCAGCCCAGCCTCAGACACTTTGGCCCCCACAGCTGGTCCAGCTCCACCAAGCTCCTCCAGCTCCAACTCACCTAGCAGGGGATTCAAGAAAACACCCAGAAAGAGAGAATGACTTAGGTGCTGTTACACGAGAACGCAAACGGTTGTATCCGCTACTTTTCTCTTTCGTATCAGGGGTGCCCAACCTTTTTTGAACCGAGAGCTACTTTTAAAGTTGCCAGTCTGCCGAGATCTACCAGGCCAAATAGAGAGGCGTAGCCAATACTGACAGCCTACTTCCAGGTAAATACACACTTCTACTTGTATAAAACTGACCTTTGTACGATGAATACTTCATAAAATACTGCAGATCCTTTATCATACCTCTTTCTAATCTACACACATACAAGTATTTAACTGAAGTTACACAACAGTGTTGTTGATACAGAGTTGGAGTTTATTCACACGTCACTACAGTGGGTAATGTTTTCAAGAAACATTGAACAGTGCTGCCACATATGACACATGGAAAAAAGAAAAGACTCTGAACCCTTTCTTTGCCATTATATAAAAATAGTGTTGCTACAAAAGTATAAATTAGACTTACTAATAAGACAACTCAGATCTGAAGCTACACAGCCGAAGCGCAATAAAAAAGACAAAATTATTACATTTTAAATTAGAATGTGTTGCATTTTATTAGAGTATAAAGAGAAATGCCATTAAAATAGCATGCAAGCAACACTAGTTTCTTAACCTGAATTGATAATAGACTATAATCAATTTAAACAGAACAGATCTTAATGTTTGCATTCTTATACCATTTTGTAAAATAATTATAATGAATAAGTTCAAACAAACTAAAACTTACAGCTGATTAATAACGGTATCTAACTTGAGTTTTTATCAAAAACCTGTTGAAATGCTACTGTTATTTTTTACTGTCCCCCAAAAGTGCGTCGGCAGCCTCCAGGAATGCTTCTTTCACAACTTCGCCGTCTTTGAAAGACTTCATGTGTTTCGCAAGAACGTGACTGACACAATAAGATGCTCTGGTAGCAGCCTTGCTCTTGTTGTTGGGCCTGGTGGAAATGGACTGCTGTGCATTTAGCTGTCCTTTCAGGTCCCTCCCCTTTTGGGAGCCTAGGGCAGAATTAGGGAGAAGCCCCTCACTGCAGTGCGCAGTACCTCAAGCCCCTCCTTCTCAACCTTTGAGGCACGTGACTAACGGCCCCTCCTTCTCAACCTTTGAGGCACGTGACTAACGGCCCCTCCTTCTCAACCTTTGAGGCACGTGACTAACGGCCCCTCCTGACTAACGGCCCCTCCTTCTCAACCTTTGAGGCACGTGACGAGCTTCACAGTTCTGTTCTGTTTGTCACTACCCGATCTGCAGCTCTGCCCGATCTGCAGTGCGCATGTGCGAGATGGTCCGCCATATTGGACAACTCCGGACGGCAACCCGAGATGGACACTTGACACAGTGGCTTTTGGCAAAGCTCAAAAGGAAAACTCGAGAGAGATGAGTTATTGTTATTACGACGTGACTTCACTATTATTTAACAACTCTTTTTATTGGGTTCTTTTATTTGGGGTTAAGTACATTGTCAGAATAAGTGAGAAATGAATTTAACTTCTGTTAGACAGCTATATGCCATACATTTTTGCACACATTCACAGTAAATATGTATTCAGTATGATAGCTGTCTAACATAAGTTAAATCCATTTCTCACTTATTCTGACAATGTACTTAACCCCAAATAAAAGAACCCAATAAAAAGAGTTGTTAAATAATAGTGAAGTCACGTTGTAATAACAATAACTCATCTCTCTCTCGTTTTATTTTGAGCTTTGCCCAAAGCCACTGTGTCAATGTTGTCCTACTTGGGTTGCCGTCCGGAGTTGTCCAATATGGCGGACCATCTCGCACATGCGCACTGCAGATCGGGCAGAGCTGCAGATCGGGTAGTGACAGTGACAAACAGAACAGAACTGTGAAGCTCGTCACGTGCCTCAAAGGTTGAGAAGGAGGGGCCGTTAGTCACGTGCCTCAAAGGTTGAGAAGGAGGGGCCGTTAGTCAGGAGGGGCCGTTAGTCACGTGCCTCAAAGGTTGAGAAGGAGGGGCCGTTAGTCACGTGCCTCAAAGGTTGATAAGGAGGGGCCGTTAGCAGTGCTGGAATTGGGCCGGTACTCACCGGTACGCAGTACCGGCACTTCTGGTTCTGACCCATGGAGTACCGGCACTTCTTGCTCAGTACCGGCATGCTGGCGGTACTCCGGTACTCATGCACCGTGCCAGTACTCAACACTCTCCCGCCGTTCTTATTATACATCCATATATATATATATATATACAGCCGCCCGGTACTCAGTAGATGCGTCATGAGGTGCCGAACTGACATTCTCATCGCTCTAACCGCTGGAGTTTCACAGCGGCTGTCAGCTGTTTACTCCTGTCATTCAAACAGAACGTGCTGGAGAGGGGGCGGGGCTTATCTTCTCCATGTAAATACTGTGGTGGAAACGACTGTCAAAATTAACCTATTTGACCGTGATTTAATAGTAATACACGTTTCAAAATAATAATAATAATAATAATAATGCCGAAGTAACAACATACTGAAAACTGTTAGTAAAACCATGTTTTAATGCTTTACAATTTACATACCTAGATGCACGTGTGTTGTGTTTATGCAGTGCAACTCCCACCCAGTGGGTGGCTATGTAGAGTGATAGAACAGAGCAGGCACGCCCCCGAGAGAAGGAAAGCAAGTCACGTCACAAATTAGCATTTCTAAAATGTTAGCGTGGATTAATAAAAGTGCAAAAAGACAGCGGTTGTCGCCGGAAGAAACTTCAAATACAGAGAATGCTGTGCCTGTGTTGGAAATTGTGTCTGATGGGGAGCTTTCTTTGGTTGATCCTCCTGCTCCAAGTTCTAGTGCATTAGCATTAGCACTAGCTCCGCCGCCCTCCTCCAGAGCCTCTAACGTTAGCTGCTGCTGGCGCAACTGCCACCACCAACACCGGGCAAAGCGATGCACCTGACTGCTGGACAACGGACCAGGTGCAATATTTTTGCAAGACCAATGCATGGCTCCTTCTTAAAGATAAGAAGCTAGGATGTCGGATATGCAGAGATGTCAAATCTTTGGGAATACACACTGGACAAGGACTGAAACTGTCAACTGAATGGGGTGAGTGTGCAGTGTCTCATTTCGGTGTTGACAAGGGCAAACAACAAGTTAGCCTGAGAAAAAAAATCAAAGAACATAAAGAATCACAAGCCCATGTCAAAGCTGCTGACATCCTTACATCTGCTTCACGTGAAACTATTCAACATCAAGTGCAGTCTATGCATAAATCTGAATTAGACACCACTATCAGAGTTTTTCGAACGGCATATAAAATTGGCAAACATAGCCGGCCATTCACAGACATGCCAATTGATTTGAATGTACAGAAACTGAATGGGCTGAACGTGGGCAGGGTTTTGCACTCCAATAAAACCTGTGGCGAAATGATCGACCACATAGCTCATGAGCTGAAGAAAAAAATGGCAAAAGACATTACAGAAAACCAAAGAAAACTGTGTTTTGGTCGATGAATCTACCACTATTAGTGGTAAAACGGTGCTTGTTGTGTGTCTACGCTCAGCATTAGCTGATGCTGAGCCCGAAACGTTTTTTTGGGAGCTGATCGAGTTGGATGGAACAACGGCTGATGACATCACAAAGGCGTTAATGGAGTGTCTTGGAAGAGATTTTAACGAGGACTTTTTAGGTCAGTGTTTCGTTTCTTTTGCATGTGATGGGGCTTCAGTCATGCTAGGGAAGAGAACAGGCGTTGCTACCCAGTTGTGTAGTAAATTCCCAAGCCTGTTTGTGTGGCACTGCTCCAATCATCGTCTAGAGCTGGCAGTTGGGGATGTGGTCAAGGAGGTCTCAGGGCTCAATCATTTCCAGATCTTTTTTGACAAACTCTATTCCTTGTTCCATGCCTCCCCCAAAAATCAGAGGCAGTTAGCGCAGTGTGCGCAAGCAGTCGGACAGCGTCTCCTGGTGATAGGGCGTGTTTTGTCCATCCGCTGGGTGGCTTCAAGTGAAAGGAGCGTCAGAGCAGTCTGGGAAAACTACCGAGTGCTTCATGATCACTTCACAAATGCTGCAAACGACACGAGCAGGGATTCCAGAGACAGAGCAAAGTACAAGGGCCTGGATGATGTGCTCACATCTGCAACGTTTGTCAGCAATCTGGGACTGATGTACGATGCGCTCACAGAGCTCAGCGACCTCTCTCGGCAACTCCAAAAAAGAGAGATGGCACTGCCTACAGCAGATAGGCTCTTAACTCGAGAAATACGAGTTTTTGAATCCATGGTCACCATGCCTGGCTCACACATGACTACAGTTCATACAGCTCTAGCTGAGAAGTCCTTCAAGGGTGTTGCCCTGCGTGAGAATGGCAGGCTTGTACAGATTCATGCAGGTCAGTTTTTCCGCAGTATGGTAGAGAATCTGAGACACAGAATGACTTCCACAACCTCCTCTCATGTCAGCACAAGAGAAATCCCATTACATGGCCGGGAGGCCCGGGACAATCAGCTAATCCAGGACATGAAAGTTATCCATCCTGGAAGTTGGCCTGAAGAGGAGTTAGACGTACAGTATGGGGACGTAGAGGTGCTACGTTTGTGCGAAGTGCTGAAAGTGGACAGAAGAGAGACTGTTCAGGGCTTTCGCGAATACAAGGAAACCAGGGCATCCCGTACACCTGCTGCCATGGAGCCTCTACTGAAAGCAGTCCGAACCATCGCTGTCTCCACTAGTGAGTGTGAGCGGGCATTCAGCTGCATGAACGATATCCTTACTGCAAAAAGGAATGCTCTCTCTGTCAGCCGACTGTCCAGCCTGGTTTTCATTAAATGTAATGGACCATCACTAGGACAGTTCAATCCGGAACAGTATGTGAGGTCCTGGCTGGCAAAGGGAAGGAGAAGTGCTGATGAAAGAGCCTGTCCAGCTCCAGCCCCTGATACTGATGTCCCAAGGCCTTCTGGAGCCTTTTCTAACAATGTGAAGTATATTGCAAAGCAGCTCACCCAGTGAGAAGACTTTTGGCATAATGTGCCGATTTGTACAGATCCTGGAGATAGAAGGACTTCAGACCAACCAGGGAGTTATCTGATCAGCTTGGTGTTCAATGTAACTCTTTACCATGGCTCAGACTTTGTTACTTGCAGTTACAGTTTCTCATTTTAGATTGTGCAAATTTTGCATTTGTTTTTACATGTTCTTTGTTCATGCTCTTTATCATTTTTCTGAGTTGGAAAGTTAGATTGCATCATAGTTTACTTTATACATATTTGTATTCTTCAGTGGTGAAGTATATTGCAAAGCAGCTCAGCCATGTGAGAAGACTTTTGGCACTTTTTCGTTTTTCGTTTTCTGAGTTGGAAAGTTAGATTGCATTCAAAATGTACAGAAATACTTAATTTTGTTAAAGCTTTTTATAAAAAATGCTTCTGACCAGAGCTTTGTTTCCTTGTCATTAATGTTGAACACCACCAGAGGGGCTCTCACCTGAAAGGTCTCTGCTTCATGTGTCTTCAGCAGAAGATCTAGACTTTGATTGTTATATTTTCAGTTAATATTGACCTTACTGAGCTTTAGCCATATCCGCTGCCTATCATAAAAAATGTTAAGTACAGTGAACCTTTCTAAAATATACAGTAGTAAAGAGACAAACCCACCAGCATTATAGTAGCCAAATTCTTGTTTGTGGGCTGTATATATATAAAATTGACTTGAAAAAGTTGCTGATTTTAGAGTACTGGCACCTTTTTCATTCCAATTCAAGCACTGGCCGTTAGTCACGTGCCTCAAAGGTTGAGAAGGAGGGGCTTGAGGTACTGCGCACTGCAGTGAGGGGTACTACGAATTAGGAGGGAATTCCGTCTCATAGCGTTTGTGCACTGTTTTGAAATGCCGCTCCTAAATTACCCTTCTTCGATAAAGCCACGCTCGCATTGCAGATGAGACCGATGGACTTTGAATTGGAATAGATACAAAAATAATCATCCTCCCACTCGGAGTGAAAATTATATATTTTGGGCTTTTTTGCTTCTGCCATAATTGCGGTCTTGTGTGTGTGCGGACTGTCACTCCTGTTGACACGGACAAAGTCAGCGAAATAGTGCCCACTGCCCACCAGCCACGCCCCGACACATGGGGTCACTCCGGCCAATCACAAAGCTTTGATGCATTCAAGTGCATTATTCTGGCACAGGAAGATTATGTTATAGGACATTAACGATAAAACAGAATATTGTTGTTCTATTTTTAGACACATCTCGCGATCGACTGGGAATCTCCCCGCGATCGACCGGTCGAGGCTGTAACGGAATTGCGGAAACGGACCCCGCAAACGGTAACGGGTCCCAAGCTGGTCCCAATATGGATAGATCTGCAAACTGAACGCTCTGGGGGACCAAACGGCTCTGTGTATACCATGGTGTATACGCCCTATACGATCATTTACTGATAACGATGAAGCCATAGCCCCACCTCTCCCCACCTCTGCTGCTCACTGCTGGTGCATGGTCAGTAGCTACTGTCAGTAGCACCAAGTCCTGCAGCACTGTCAGTAGCTACTGCTACTGCTACTGATCATGCTACATATGTTAGTGCAAAATCTACAGCTACTCTACCACAACCATCAGCAACAAGTGGACATGGAGAATTACATGAACTACTTGCTGCTAAATCCACCGCGGGGCATAAACAGAAGGGCAACCATGGCAACCATGCTCGGGGGTCTTCTTCGCTGCTTTTGCTGTATTTTGTGGCGAAAGTACAGCGCCACTTACAGGCCCGGCATATGTACTACAGCGTCTCCAGCACCTCCGAGCGGTCTTGTGTGAACGGAAGACTTTTTTGATATATTCGGTTCGTTTGCGTATGCGTTTGCGTGTAAATGGGGTCTTAGAGCTAGATCGGTAGTTGAGTCATCCATCATAACCATCCTACATACAGTAGTGCAATACTGTACATCAATTATTTTTGCTAAATTGCAATATTAAGGTACTTTAAACTTCTACATGCATCACTTTCGTACTTACATTTTGTACTTTTTACTGCACTTGATTTATTTTAAGCTTCATTTACTTTGCAGATTCAGATTCATAGTACAAAACATCATCAACAAATGAATGATGATACAATATTAAGGATTAAGATACATCTGAATTGATTTCCAGGAAAAATAATTCACAGGCTGTTCAGCATAAAACAGAATACAAATGACTTCAAATAAAATGTTGTAGATTCAGAATATTATAGCAAAAATAAAAATCAGCTCATAAATAAGGATGTATTATTTTTGTATTGATATACAGTTGAAGCTACTCGGCAGTAGGCCTATATATAAAGTAGTTAACATTAGCACCACTAACATCTGCAAAGGGAATGCTTGTGTCAATAACTATAACCCAGTGATATAGAATAAGTATAACACATATAAAGCATTCTGAAATGAGTTACTGCAAAATAAACACATTGAAGTCTTTGAAACAATTTCTGTATTACTATAATGTATCCCAAGTAAGAGTATTTTGTATTCTTGTTTTTACTGTATAAGCAAGGATACCTAACTTTCACCACTTCAACCTGTTACATCATTTGAAATTATTCCAACAAATTGTAATTAAAGAATATTAAAAAAACATAGAACCAAAAACATGTTGATGAAGACGGGTGTCAACAGATATAGTAATTGATTTCTGCTCACACAATCATAAAGTAAATGAAAGCTTCTTCCCCCCAGCCTGCATCCACAGAGTGCAAGGGTGTGTGTTGCGGTATGTGTACCTGTGCGCAGCGGCTCAGGCTGCGGGGGTCCAGGAAGGAGAAGAGGTAGAGGCAGAGGACCCGGGGCAGCGGGCAGGTGAAGTCAGCCGCCTGCAGGGGGAGCCGTCTGCTCACACTGAGGCTGAGGAAGAGGAGCTGCTCCACCGAACAGCTGAGCACCAAGTCCTGCAGCACCGCCCTCCTCTGGCTGTCACTCCACCTGTCACACTGACACAGGAGGGGGGGGGGGGGGGGGGGGGGTCAGAGGAGGCTCCACAGGCACCCATCAGCACAATGGAGAGGTTCTCACATCTACCAGAGCTCACACTGAGTTCACTCAGCAGTGTAGAACCAGCAGCTTCATCTTCATCTTCATCATCATCATCATCATCATCATCATCATCATCATCATCATCATCATCATCATATGAACCTACCCACTTTGACAGAAGTTTCCGCCTTTCTTCAAACACCTGAGAAAGAAGAGAAAAATGTAAGTGACAATGACAGATAGTGGTTATTAGATGATGATTAGGTAATACTTTATATGATAAACAAATAAGTGAGTCCAATTTCCTAAAACAAAGGGCTAAACTTGACATAGTGGGTCATGGTGATATATTCTCCAATAAGTTATTGCTCTGTAAACTTTAACATTTTTTAATACCTGTCTGATTCTTTTTTAGGTTGTATTAATTTGTATTGTCTTGGCTTTTTATTGACACTACTTTGTCTATCATTCACAGAATATATCTGACTAATATGTTTTTGTGTGATGTTTCATGTGACCTTGCTGTTGGAGGGAGCGTGGTTCAGAGGAGTCCAGGAGCTCAGTTTGGTTTGCATCTTGGCACAGCTGGAAGATGACCTCTGTGCAAGCGGCATCGTCGAGTAACAGCTGGGTGAAGGTGATGCACTAAAATACACAGAACAAAACTTTATCAACATGTTTTTGTTGTGTGTGCAGCATGCAATTTAACATCATCTGAACACTTTAAGGCTTGTGTTTAGCCTTCTTAAAAAGTGAGAAGTTACATAACATACCAGCTTTTATCTCACTCAAGGAACAGTGAGTGTGAGTGAAGTCTTACAGTATATATGATAAATCAATGAATACATGTGGAGATTTATAAAAAAAGACAAGAGGATAATCAGCCCTACAGCAATAGTTCAAGAAGTCTAACTGACACAAATCCAGCCTGCAGAAAGACGATTTTATGTTCCGGCAGACCACCTGTCCAACAAATACGACATTGGAGTTGCACAAGGAATCTGTCTTGGTCCCCTCCATTTTTCATTATGAGCTACTACTATGATATAACTATTAAAGTCTTATATAATAAAAGGTGAACGCAGGTGGTGAAAAACAAAACTCCAGGTGCACTTTGAAATCTATAAAGAGAGACTTGGCCTTTATAATTTGGAATTGAAATTTGCCCGACAGTCTTTCTTCTCTGATATCATTGCCAAAAACAAAAACAACGCACGTACCTTGTTCGCTACCGTCGACAGACTAACTAACCCCCCAGTGTCAGTAGCCTCTGAAATTCTATCCACCAGGGCGTGCAATGATTTTGCCTCCTTTTTCACTGACAAAATTCAGAAAATCAGACAAGCAGTCAGTGCCTCTGCATCAGGTACAGCAAATGTTTTGTCTCTGTGTCCACTTAAAATCAATTCAAACACCATGAAACAATTCCATCAGATTAATGATAAAAACCTAGAGGACATTATACAACATCTGAAATCCTCCTCCTGCTGCCTTGATATTATTCCAACAGGGTTTTTCAAAAATGTTTTTCCTTGCATGGCCTCATATCTACTTCATATAGTAAACAAGTTTTTTCACTCAGGTGTTTTTCCACAGGCCCTGAAAACTGCAGTCATTAAACCGCTCTTAAAAAAGCATAATCTAGACGCTTCAGTAATGAACAATTACAGGCCCATATCAAACCTCCCATTTCTAGGTAAAATCATTGAAAGTTTTTCAACAGTTGAGTAATTTCTTGCATTTAAATAACTGTTTCAATGTGTTCCAGTCAGGATTTCGTCCAAACCACAGCACTGAGACTGCTCTTGTAAAGGTCTTCAATGACATCCGCTTAAACACAGACAGTGGCAGAACTTCAGTGTTAGTATTATTAGATCTCAGTGCTGCGTTTGACACTGTTGACCACAACATATTACTAGACCGACTAGAAAACTGGGTGGGACTTTAGGTAAATACACATCTGAGTTGACAAATATGACATGTGGGGTACCTCAAGGCTCCATCTTGGGGCCTCTTCTCTTTAACATCTACATGCTACCACTGGCTCAGATAATGAAAAACAACAAAATAAGTTACCATAGCTATGCGGATGACACACACATTTACATAACCATTTCACCAGGAGACTATGCTCCAATTCAAACACTGAGTAAGTGCATTGAACAAATCAATGACTGGATGTGTCAGAACTTTCTCCAATTAAACAAAGACAAAACTGAGGTAATGGTCTTTGGAGCCAAGGCAGAACGTATAAAGGTTAGCGCTGAGCTTCAGCCTGCAATGTTCAAAACAACAGATAAAGCCAGAAATCTAGGTGTAGTCATGGACTCTGACCTGAGTTTCAACAGTCACATTAAAACAATTACTAAATTAGCCTACTATCACCTAAAGAACATATCTAGGATTAAAAGACTAATGTCACAGCAGGATTTGGAAAAACTTGTCCATGCTTTTATCTTCAGTAGACTGGACTACTGTAATGGTGTCTTTACAGGTCTCACTAAAACATCTATTAGAAAGCTTCAGCTGATTCAGAACGTCGCTGCTCGAGTCCTCACTAACACTAAGAAAGTGGATCACATCACTCCAGGTCTGAAGTCTTTACACTGGCTTCCTGTGTGTCAAAGAATATATTTTAAAATACTGCTGCTGGTTTATAAAGCACTGAATGGTTTAGTCCCAAAATACATTTCTGATCTTCTGATAAATTATGAACCATCCAGATCTCTCAGGTCTTCAGGGACTGGTCAGCTTTCTGTCCCCAGAGTCAGAACTAAACATGGTAAAGCAGCGTTCAGTTATTATGCTCCAAATATCTGGAACAAACTCCCAGAAACCTGCAGGTCCGCTGCAACTCTGACTACTTTTAAATCCAGGCTGAAGACTTTTCTTTTTGTCGCTGCTTTTAATTGAAACTGAGCCATTGTGTTCATCAGTAAAGTGGAACCTCTGTGTGAACTATTCATATCTTAAACTGCACTGTAACGTTTTATTCATGTACTTTTTATTCATGTACTTTTTATTCATGTACTTTTTATTCATGTATTTTTTCTTTTAATGTTTCTTTTATTATCTTTTACTGTTTTTAAATGTCTTTATCTGAATGTCTTTCATTTTTGTAAAGCACCTTGAATTGCCTTGTGTTGAAAGGTGCTATATAAATAAACTTGCCTTGCCTTGCCTAATAAATCAATGAATACATGTGTAAATATATCGTGTATAATGATGTTTGCCCAGAGTCAGATGTTTATATCCTCGCCCCTTCTTTGTTATTATGTTACTATACACTGATACCAAATACACAAATACCTCCATCTTTAATTCCATATCTTGTAAAAACAAGAGTTAGGAAAATAAGTCTGGGTCCCCTCCTTTTATCGTTATATATGCTACTGCTAAGTATAATTAATAAAGTATTTTATAGTCAATCAATGAATACATGTGTACACATAAGGCCAAATACATCTTCGCATTATGTCTTGTTTCCCCATCTTTGTTATTATGTAACTTGGCAATACTAATACAAAAATAATATACAACTTTAATTCAATAAGAGTGAGGAAAAGCAGTCCACAGTTAGAAGAAGTTAAAAGGACAAAGGTCAAGCCTTACACACACAAACACCATGCAGCGTCTTCATAGTATACACACACTCCTCTAGTATTTTACTCACCATCAGTTCTCCTCAGCTGACGGAAGGAGAAACATTCCCTCTCTCTCTCTGTTTTCTCCCGATAGCCTTTGTGTCTGTACACCAAACTCTTCTTCTTCTCTTTTATTTCCCAATTTCCTGTGCTCAGTTTACTCGTTCCCATAGTAACAGTGAGTGGCAGAGCCTGTCACACACAGAGGGGGGTGTTGCAAAGCAAACCACAGTGCAGAGTGGAGTGTGCAGGCGACAGTGACTTTAATGATGACAAATAGTAGAAGCTGCAGAAAGCCTGACACTGCAACTGCTGCAAAGACCATCTGCCCCTGATACTCTGATACTGCAAAAATACCTTTCGCTTCTGGAGATCATGTTTTCTGACATAGTTCTTATGTACAGTAGATATATGTGTATTTTTTCCCTGGAAATGTATTTCTCCAATGCAAAGTTGATAACTTGTGTAATGATATGCTAAATTGAAAGGAACATTTTAAAGGAATGTAATCTACAGTAACTGACCTATTAATTGATCAAATATATTGTGTTTTACACAACACTAATGCATAGGTGTTGGAATTGTACTTATTACATTATCAGTAGCAGTAGTAACATTAGTGGAAAAAGTAGTAGTTGTGTAATGTAACTTCAAAGATACAGACTAAATACTTAAAGTGGACCTATCATGCTATATTTGAAACATATTTTGTAGGGCCATACCTATATAAAACATGTCTGTGAAGTTTTTTTTTCAAAATACCAAACAGATCATGCATTTTAGCCATGCCTCATTTCGCTCTATTTGCTCTTTTCCAGCCCTGTTTTTGCAAGGGCTGATTCTGCTTTTGTGGCAGACTACAGCGCCACTTACAGGCCTGGCATTTGTACTACAGCGTCTCCAGCGCTTTCCAGCGGTCTCTCATTCCCCTGATAGGTGGAGAGTTGCCCATATAGGCGGAGCACCCCTTTTCTGACGTCAGAACAATTCAAATAATAATCAGCTCTGTTGCAGCCCCGTTTTTAGAGATTTGGGTATGGAGGAAAAGAGAGAGGGTTGTGTTTTCTGACACTTGGTGAGTTCCCTGACACACCGGGGACACATATTCATGTATAAAAGACGTACACAATTGCATTTTGCATGATAGGTCCCCTTATAGCCTACTGTTGTTCGCATACTTGTACTTCACTTGAGTTTAACATGTAATAATTATTTATACTGGTACACTACATTACAGAGGTATGTTTACTTTTTACTCCGCTACATTTATTAAACATTCAATTTTTTTACATATAAAAATACATGATATGCACGTTTTCAAGTTTCATTTCCTAAAATAAGTACTGTAGTGACATTTTTAAATCAGCACTTTCACTTGTAATGGAGTTTTTTTGTTGTATTTCTCCTTCAAAAGTAAAGCAACAGCCTCATTTTTCAACACTAAAGTAGTAGTATAATAAGATAACTTTGTTTTAAGCTTAATAAATTGACTTGAGAATGAAGTAGGCGTTGGCTCTGTTTTCAAGGCAACAATGCGGCCTGGTGTATGACGTTAGAACTGCTGCTGTGGGCCTGCTGATAAAACATTTTAGTTATTTCTGCAGACAAACACTGAGTGCCACCAGTCTGAGAAGTTTTTCATTCAAAAGGCTGCTCGTCCTCGGATGGGCGGCCGCGCGCAACGAGGACAGAAAACCTGCTGTGAAGAAAGAGGGAGAGCTGCATCAAGTTAAACAGACACACCCTGAGCACGACCGGAAACCACCCGGAGGACCTTCAAAATAATAATAATAATAATAATAATAATAATAATAATAATAATGAATTAGTTATGTATTGCATGTACATGGTTTTAAATGTATAACACATAATTGTCATTCCGATTTAAATCCATCTGCTAAAATTACCCCTCGCACTAACTAAAAGTGGTAGCCTATGTTATTATATGTTACACATTGAATCAGTGGACGACTTTTTTTTTTTACTATTTTATGGTGGTAATACTTTTCTTCTATGGAACTGCTTTAATTTTAAGTACAGTAGGCTATGCTACTTAATCCACATAACTACTTTACACTGCTGCTTTTCATTAATTGTGATTAGAAAGGAATCAACATTATGAAAATGGTTGTTTATAATATTTTTCAAGATTCAAGATTCAAAGGTTTTAATGTCATATGCACATAACTGTAGAAATGGCAATGGACATCATATGTCCCGATCATAGACTGTAGGTCCCGACTCCCCGTGCTCCTCCAACAATGCAACAGTAGCCTAATAAGACATAAACAATAAAAAAAATAAAAAAATGCAATTTTTTGGGGGAAATCTCTTAACATCCATTGAAGGGTGACATTAAATTAACACTACCTCACTACCATACTGTATTTAATTTACTGACACAAATATATTCTGTGCTGGGTCTTTCGTTTATTGATGAGTCTTTTATTTGTGTAGACTTTTGACTGGAAGCCATTTTGAAAACATAGCTGGCTTGACGCTGGGCTGAGAGGGGGACAGAAGCGAAGCGGAGGGGGGAGGCGGACAGAGGAGGAGGACAGGAGGAGACTGGAGGAGGGTGCTGCTAGGGGGACATTCACTCATTGTTAGCAACTCGAGGAGTGGCGGAGACCCCGTCGCTACACGTGAAATTTCGGCACAACATTCAGGTAAAGTTGCCTTTAATTTACTCACTTTAGCTAACATTTATTACCGGAGTGTTTCTCATGGACAGCCACCTCCGTCTCCGCCCGACTCGGTGCGCTGAATTATACCGGTACACGGGCTACCCCTGTTACTATCATGCAGGATAACTAACCGTCATCTTTTGTCTCCGCTGCGCCGCTTGACATTCTGTTTTATTCAACCATTTTAAAGCAGGGAGGCAGGTACAGAGGGCAGTGGCTAGGATATACAGTGATAAGCCTCTTGGTGACGTTAGTAGTAGCTAGCTACGCTCACATTTATGAGGCGCAATTCATTTATGAATTCCCTGCTTGGAGCTCTCGGAGCGCCAGTTAATATTGAAGCATAGGTACGCTAATGGGCGTACTAATATCGCGGTATTTCAAATAATTAACCTTTAAAAAAGCTGCGCTTGTTTGATATTTGTTATAATTAGACGCAGGTGTATAACATTTTTTTTGTATGTCAGTGAGTGGAAATGTATTGGGTTGTTATGGGTGTGTACTGTCATGTAAATGAATCTGTAAATGTATTTCCGCAATGGAAATGTGCTTTAATTAATGACAAACATAATACTTTTTCTGTCGTGTAGCAAAAGTAAAGTCGCTCCATCTAAATTACACTAATACCAGTAATAACAACATACCATAAATCATGATAAGTCACCTAACTAAACAACCACACAACACCTTGAAATGTTTTGAACATAGGAGTGATGTAGTGTCCTGTATGCAAATGCTTTGCTGATGTTATTAATCCCTAGCATGATATATTGCTGTTAATTAACTCTGCAAATGTTATTATCAGTCATCTACATAACCACCCACCACAGTGAAATGCAATTACCAAGTCTCTTGAAACAGCCTTTTGTGTGTTGTTCTGTTGTAGTCTTTTAAAGGTCTAATTGATAAAGCCTGTTTTTGGTTTCAAACATAATAGCTATGTTGAGTAATCTACTACTGGTGACTTGTTACCAAACATACACTTAAAATGTTGTGCTTTAATTTTTCAGATCCTACGCTGAACATCATCTCCAACTGTGCTCGTCATCTTTATTTTCCCGTCGAGGCAGGAGAGGGAGGAGTGCGAGCGGTCATTCACAGCGCGGCATCTTAAAGGACCACAGCATCTCCCAGGCTATGGAGCTCCTGTGACACACATCCCCAGGGTGATGGATGTAGCTATCTTCAGTCATGGATTACGCTGCCCGACCCAGAGGGTTTCTCTGTGAGCTGAAGAGGAGGAAGAGACTACCAGACAGTCCTCGACTCACCTTTAGCCTTGTGATTTCCCTTTCCCGGTGAATGAAACGGATGCTGACAGGGCTCAACCCTTCTTCTTAACAAGCTACTTCTGTACGGACCGGTCATGGATCTCCTGTGGGTGCTGTCGGTGTCCATGTTGACGGTGTGCGTCGCCATCCCCATGGACGCGGCGGGGGAGAGCCATAGCCAGTTCACTTGTGAGCCCATAACCCTGCGCATGTGCCAAGGGCTGCCATACAACGCCACCTACATGCCCAACATCCTGAACCATTACGACCAGCAGACTGCCGCCCTCGCCATGGAGGTACAGTACACCGCCCACATGTGGAAAATATAAAAAAGCAATGCATATTTCAAATGTGTCAACGGCTTTATTTGTCATATGCACAGTAGACACAGCGTCATTTTGGCAATGAAGATCTTGATTCTCAAGCTCCTCCAATAATGCAACATACGATATTCCTTACTTAAAAGTAAAAGACATACAATTGTGAAATAGGCAAAATTGTTAAAATATTCTTCCAGCATAAAAAAAACATGTACTAACAACAAGATATAACAACAAGTGAAATTAAATACTATGGAGTAGAATAATTACAATGTTTACCATCTAAGCACTGGTTTGTGTGTCTAAAAAATGAGATTGTGAGCGAGAACTCAGGTATTTGCTGATATTATGTGCTGACGATTAAAACTGATCATTTTATTTCCACAGAAAATAATGCATCAGTGATTTCTCTGCATTGTCAGGGATATACCTTTTTACATTTAGACCATAATAGACCCTTTAACCCGCAGCGGGACTCACTGAAACTGCAGATCTGCTACACCTATTCAGTGGGAGTGAAATATCTGGAATACATTAAACCTTTAAATGGATAGTCTGGTTGTTTTTAAATTGGGTTCCATATAGGTAATTTCCATAGTTAGTGTATAATGTACTGTGTACGGCTGTCGACGCGCCCCTAGTTTCGAGAAGAGGACATGCGTACTCTCACGGAAGCTAAACAATGTACTGCTGCGGACAGGGAGAGAAGTATCATTTATTTAAGCCATATAACAAAAGGCCAAACAAAAAAATCGACTTGTTATAAGTGAAGGAAATGAAGGAAGAAAGTAAACATCTTTGCTAGATATAGTGGCCATGGATGCACTTTTCAGCAGAGGTGATTAGCAAAAAAATTACAAAAAGCGGCACTTTTTTCCATCTTAATATTCGTATTTAAACATGTGTATTTAGGACATACATTTGTAATTTCCTGTCTCAAACTGCCTTTTGCTTGAGCCATCTAATTTTATACTTTTTTTACTTTTTTAAACGCAATGTTATATTTGAGTCATATATGATAAAAGGTAGATATTAATGAGTATTTCAGTTATTAAGGAGTTATAAACAAAAAAGCACTTTTGGCCATTTTAAGGAAAATTGTGCATTGCTTTTTGCGCTGTGGCCTTCTGCTTTGTTGTCTATTTCCTTCCACTGTCTTCCGCTGAACTTTTCTGCCTTTCTCTATTTTCATATCATTTTAAGGGATAGTTTGAAGTGGGGTTGATGATGTTCTTGTCCATAGTCCCAGTATTACATACTGTATAGTAGATGTCGGTCAGTATTCCACCAGTTTAGAGAGACAGACAGGAGTACGGGTGCGGAAGCAAAGCAGTACATAGCTTTGCATCATACAGGGCCAGAAAGGCTAAAAGATAGGCAGAGCTTAAACAAATTGGGGGAATCCAAATGAACCCTTTTAAACACCAACTCACACAATCAGACTCTCGTGCTCTGCAAGGGAAAATTACCGTTTTTGTCAACGCCGTTTGGGGCTTTAAAGAGAGCATACATAACAATTACAGTTCCCGAAAACAGACAAAGGGGTGTTCGTCGGCAAGGTTTAGCGGTAAAAAAATGTTTGATATACAATTAGTACACAAACTGATATTGATTTGTTCAGGTCGTTCTATTTTTAGGTGGTTAAAATATGTTTTGCTGCTGCCTCAGCAGTACATTGCTTAGCTTCCATGCGGTAAGCCTGCTCTGTCTCCAACCTGGAGGCAGGCCAACCGCCATTTACTGTAGTAATGCACTGACTATAAGCACCTCATATAGTGCCAACTCAAACATTGCGATTTGTCTTATTCTAAGAAGAACCCATATATATATATTTGAAATATATATATATATATATATATTTGAAATATATATATATATATATTTGAAATATATATATATATATATTTGAAGGGACAGTTTTTCACTATTTTGTGATATTCTATAGACTAAAGTGTTAATGGCTTGTAAACCTTATATTGAGCCTAACTTGTATACTTCTGATGAATGAAAATGATTTTAGTGAGGGATTTAATGAATGTATTTGAAGAAAAGCTATGGATTTGGAACAAACATAGGAACTGGCCTTAATGAAACAAGATTACATCTAAACAAAGCAATTCATAAATCCCATATTGAGAGAAGAATTTTTATATTTTTGGCCTACGTAGTACGTAGTAATAAGCTAAGCACATAACGACGTTAAAAAAATATGCGTTATCGTTAATCCCCCCCAAAAAATAAAAATAACAACACTAATGAAAATTGCATACGGCGATACCTTTAATTTATTTTAAAGTCAGTTTTCCTCCCATTTTGTTTCCGTCTCTTACATTCCTGAGTCCTTTGGCTTTCCTCTGTTGTGACTCACATTGTTGTGGATGCAGAAATTAAATGTGACACACATCCGCAGACACACAAACACACATCTTCACAGATTGAAGCCCACAGACGGCATTTCTATCCGGATGTATGTGTTGCCAGATCAGGACAGGGGTTAGTGATAGAATTAGTCTTCCTCACATGTTGATTAGTGTGTCTGCAGCACTGCCTGCCCCATAGACATCAGTAGCCTATATAGCTATCACTACAGCTAACTGTATGTGCTTAGAGTTGGTAATATCAAAGTGCTAGCCTACTTTAATGTGGCTCCTGTAGCTCCAGGCACTGTGAGTGTATTACCAAAACATTAAACAGAAATTACGTTGTAATACTTTATCTCTGGGAGCCAGGAGAACAGTGCATTATTAAACTGTCTCAAAAATGGTTTCTGGCCGCATGTTGACAGACAGGTGATTTATGAAAACATGTCAAACACATCAAAACCATTTTGCAGTAAGTTAACCCTGGAGTGAAGAAACCAAACTGTTTCATCTGAAGGATTAAAGCTCAGTTTCTCGTGTGTAGTCCTTGTTTTATCGTTTCCACCCCACAGATTATCTATAGATTTACCAGCCACAGCATCGGACTGTTGTGGCTGTGTGATCCTCTTTGAAATGACGAGTTAGACATTTACAAACAATCACGGAGCAGATGCATCACCTCGTTAACTTAATCCCATCCTCTGGTAGGCTGATCCCTCTGGAAGCTCATTCTATCTAGCAATTACTGGCCAAACCGCACCAAAACATTAGACTGGATGAAACATCTACCTCTCTGTGTGTGTTTGTGTTTCAGTCTTCCATCTATATGTATCCCTTCTTATTCATCCTCAGCATCAGGTTCCCATTGGCTCTCACTCCCTCGATCACTTTTAGCCTTTGACACCCGCCCTGCCCCGCCTGGCACTGGGATGATGTGGATGTGCACACCATCTGTGCCTCCTCCTTTACGCTGTACTCAACATAGACACTGAGTGAGGGAGATATGGAGGGCGGGTTATGTAACCTCTGAACATGCCCTGGCCCAATCACAGCGCACCACATCACATCTGTACGCGCATTAGGAAACATGCAGGCGCTCTTGACTTCCTGCTTAGGGTACTATCTTGACTTTGTCTAAATATTCACTCTCTAATCTTGTGGATTTAGTTTAGATTTTGAAGATCAATTGAAGAAACTACATTTAAGATTGTACTTTTTTTTTAGTAGAATCATTTCCTTATTGCGTAGATGTTGCTTACCCGTGTTGTTTTGAGGCCACGTTAGCTTTTTTACGCTAATCTCAGTGTGTGGGTTGCCGTGAACAGAAAGAGGCACTTCTAGTTTGGACGGTGTTCACTTTGATTGGTCATGGAGCCACAATTAAGTCTCTTTTAGCTCTCAGAAATGCTCATTGGGTTTGGAAAAGACACACGGAAACCCAATAGGTTCCAAATAACTCGCCCTAGATCCAGTTCATGGGAGAATTCAAAGCCTATAAGATGTCGAGGGCAGCCAAATGAGAATTGACAGTTGATTTGAAAGAGAATTAGGTCCTCTGAATAGCCATGATAATGATGATGAATGCCTCGCACCGTGGAGAAACTGGGAGTTGGATGAGAACCAACGCCTGCCGTTCTTGCACTTTTTGTCTAAACCCCCTGAAGTGGTGTCTGTCTGAGTTTCTTTTATCCTGTCTCGTTTTTCATGGTCTTTTCAACGTTTTTGTTCTTTTGGGAAAATGGGTGCAATTTGTCATGATATCGTTAACACTTTCTTGGTTCTTTATTTTGTTGGGTTTAGTGTGTGCAGATGTTCACTGTATTTCATTTTAGACTGGTGCTTAAAGTGGGGACATATTTGGAGTATGAGCTGTATATCACATTAGCAGATCTGGTTTACCCGGTGATAACGTTTTTTAACTTGATTTGAACAAAGACAGATTGTATGGTTAGTTTGAACTGGAAACATAACTAACAAGGTGATTCGGATAAACATGATTTTCTGTTCCCGCGTCGACGCTCGCTGCGGCAGCCATCGCTGACCGCTGAATGACCTCGCAGCTGAAGTGGGGCAGCGGCCTCGGGGCTGGGAATCGGCTAATTCTGTGCCACAATGATACTGTGCCATACTCTATACCATAAGTGGGAGCGTGGCGGATTTGACTGGCATTACAAAAAGACAAAAATAAATGTGCTAAAATCCCCTTCTTTACAGATAAATGCACACTTTAGCTACAGTAAGGCAGCGTGGCTTCATCACATTTAATCAATTAAGCTGCTATGTACCGTGCTTTGCATCCAAAGCAGATGGCATTTATTTCAGTATGAAATCAGGACGTCTCTCATTCTCTAATGGACGTAGATGATAATAAAGCTATTACGTTTGCATATGCTTTAAGGATTTTTTTGCGGGGAGAGGACATGAATGTCATGATTCTGTTATTGATTCATTATTCCGAATGCTTGTTCTTCTGAGTAAAAAGATTTGGAAAGAACTACCGTGTGGTGTTGGCGCTTGGTGTGTTGAGAGATAACCGTTTAGTGTATGAGTAATGGCTGCAAAGCACAGAATCATATACAGAAAGCATTACATACTTAATATTCTATGAATTGTCAA